AGTATTAATAGCAGAGATTACTTAAGACCATTCTTTGTTGCCTTACTGAGCTTATTCAGACTTGTTATATCTTTTGGTGCTTATAATGATCATACCAGACCCAATAATGCCTATCATAAACCCAGTTTCATTGAAGTTATAAATATCTGCGTCTTAGATACCATGTTTCGCGATTGCTGCCACAATTTGGCAAAACCATGCGCGATACATGTCTAAATGTTTATTTAAGACCCTTTGGTAGTCTATCTTTTAATAAAAACGCGTCCGAAGGCCTGGTGTACGTTTGATGAAGTTCCGCTTTCAGTTCTTTCTGACGTGTCGAGTCCCATTTGTGTGATGGATCTGACATCCATCCATCCATTCACGGTGGTATGTGCGCTCATCAGGTGATCTGGTAGGGTGGACGCGTTGCCCTACTGCACTCACTATGGATAATTGTGGAGCGGGATTGAAGATCTAATCCCCCACCAGAATTGGCTGGTGGTTCTGATCCTTCTTCCCTCCTCACCAGTAGATTCTTATTCATCTGGAGTAATAGATGGGCATCTTTGTCCTGAGCTACCAGCTGTTCCGTGACAATGTGCTGCCAATAATTGATTCACCATATCTTTAATATAACTGTACCAGGGCAGAAATGCTCGCATATACAGGTCAAGAATGAAAGAAAGAATAGCATTCTCTTCGGAAACCATAAATTTTAAAGTATTGGGTATGCTATTGCGTTGTGATGGTCTGCCGGCGATTCTAGCCTTTAAGGTATTATATGGGACGTAGAAAGTTTCAGAAGGTTTGCTAATAATAATATGAGGATCGTATCGTTTAACTTGAACAGCAAGCTGTAAGTCTGATTCACTATAACGCAATGTCATTATTGTTGGTTGATCAATTAAGAGCCTTAATGAAAAGGTTAGGTGGCTGGTGAAAAGTTGCTATTTGCTTGTAATTACTGCTCGCTTATCATCTACGTTAATATTTATATTAACTTAATTTATAAAACCCTTATAACTTTAACAATTAACTTATTAACGAAGCCTTTATAAGTTGATATAGATTAATATAAGTTAAAATCGAGATTTTAATTTTTAATTTTATGAAAAATTATTTCTGTAATAAGTGTTAGATACATGCAATTCCAGCCTGCAAACCATCTATACCAGGACCCATATGTATATTTAGATAAGAGATTAGATACCGGGTTGCGAGGTCACTTAGCCAGACCTTCAGGTCCAGCTAGACCTCCCAATCCAACCCATTGTGACAAGCCATCTAACCTATAAGGATAAAGGGTTCTACGGTGTTTATGTTTTGAAGTAAGTCAACACAAAAGACAATAGAGGCTTCTGTCAACTAGAAGACACTCAGATGCTGGGGCTTGGTCTGAACTGGGTTCACTGTGTAATCGAGTCGTCAGGAGATTTCTCCCACCTTAGAGTTGGCTAAGATGCTTAGATTGATCACTGAGGTAGAGACTGTCTATCTATCTAGTTGTGAAATGTCTGTCCTTATATATCCAATCTCTCCCTCACAGATGGAGTAGGATCACCTTGTCCTAGAGTGATGCTCACTGGCTCACTTTGTGATCCAGTGATTTGTCACGTGACCTTTATTATGTAATCCGTAATACCCATTGTTCTGTTCCTGGCTTCTGATTCTATTGGTTCTTGGTGTACTCCCCTTGGCCCTCCAACAGGCCATGATATTTTTTGGTTCGTAACACCCATCAGCAACATCATGACTTTGACCCATACTCTAGTATTATGATTGATCGGTCAAGCCTGTTCCAACAATAAGGCCTATTAAGGTATTTTAAAAGACCGGGATTTCTTTATTGATATTAATAAAGGTCCGATTGAAAATAAGCTAATTTTAAGGTTATATTAACTTACAAAAATATTAATTTCAAAGATAAAGCCTTCTGCTAATATACGTTAATTAATTTAACTTCAAATGTTTCAAAAAGCTTAATAATCTATTTGATAAGACCTTTTTGTTCACGTAGATTAAGTTGGTTAAAATTTAATTCAGTAATAATATATTACAAAAGTATATTAAACTTTTAAATAGAACGAGTACTTAAAAAAAGAGTTTTTTTTAAACAAGGTTATTTAAAAGGTTTTAAAAAGGTCGTAAAAATACGAAAAAGAGATATTATTATATTGAAATTAATATAACGTAGGTCACAAGCGAGCGGCAATTACAAGCGAGCGGCAACTTTTCACCAGCCACCCAACCTTTCAATCAAAGCTCCTAATTGATCAACCAACAATGATGGCATTGCGTTATAGCGAATCAGACTTACAGCTTGCTGTCCAAGCTAAGCGACGCGACCCTCATATTACCATTGGCAAGCTTTCTAAGACTTTTCATGTCCCATACAATACCTTGAAGGCTAGAATCGCCGGCCGACCATCACGACGCGATAGCATGCCTAATTCTTTGAAACTTACGGTTTCTGAAGAGAATGCCATTTGTTCCTTCATAATCGACCTGGATGCGCGAGCATTTCCGCCCCGGTACACTTATGTTGAAGATATGGCAAATCAATTGTTGGCGGCACGCGGGGCTGGACGCGTTAGAAAGAACTGGACGGCGAACTTCATCAAACGTACACCAGGCCTCCGGACGCGTTTTCATCGGAGGATGGGCTACGAGAGGGTCTTGAACGAAGATCCGGACGCGTATTGCGCGTGGTTTCGCCAAGTTGCGGCGGCAATCGCGAAACATGGTATCCAAGACGCGGATATTTACAACTTCGATGAGACTGGGTTTATGATGGGCATTATTGGGTCCGGCATGGTCATTACAAGCGCCGAAAGACGTGGTAGGCCTAGACAAGCCCAGCAAGGCAACAGGGAATGGTCTACAGCAATTTCTGCTGTCAATGCTGATGGTTGGGTGGTCCCGCCGTTCATCATTCTACAGGGCAAAACCCACCTCGCGTCATGGTATCGCAACACGACAATACCACGCGATTAGAAGGTGGCCGTGTCCGATAATGGGTGGACTACGAACGAGATTGGGTTGGAATGGATTCGGCATTTCGACAAGTATACCAGACCGCGTATGACTGCCGGTAAACGCCTCCTCATCCTAGATGGTCACGAAAGCCACCATTCCCAGATCTTTGAGAGATATTGTCAGAACAACAATATTATTACCCTTTGTATGCCTGCCCACTCGTCACACAGGCTCCAGCCTTTAGATGTCAGTTGTTTTAGCCCGCTCAAACGAGCGTACGGTCGCATGATTGAGGATCTCATGCGGCGTCATATAACCCATGTTTCGAAGGAGGACTTCCTTGCAGCGTTTTGTGAAGCACACAACGCTGCTATGACACCAGGGAACATTCGAGCAGGTTTCAGTGCTACTGGGCTTGTTCCTTTTGACCCAGAAAGTGTCATTTCGAAACTGGATGCTGTCGCTGTCGTACGAACACCGTCGCCAGACCCCAATCTGCCACCCACTACTTGGACTTCGAAGACGCCTACCACCATCAACGAAGCGGTCAACCAATCGGTTCATATCCGAAATCAAGTCAGAAACCACCAGGGAAGCTCACCTACATCAATAATTGATGCGTTGAGCTCGTTTTCAAAGGCTACATACGGTCTTATGCACAAGGTCGCTTTGGTTGATTCCCGGGTCCGCGAGCTAGAGGAGGCCAATCACCTATTAAGTAAACGCCAGAGGACAAAAAACAAAGGTCTAGTGAAAGGAGGAGTACTTTCCGTTAAAGATGCAGTAGGTCTCCAGGCTGTAAAGGATGGTAGTGAGCTGGTAAGACAGGAAATGGGTGAAGGTAGTCGTCGTCCAAGGAGGGCGGCAGCGCGTGAGCGACGTTGTGGCGTTTGCGGCAACACTGGCCATAATGCGCGAACTTGTACAATAGAGATAGAAACGTCTGAAGAAGAAGAATCCGATTGATTAGATTGAATTAAATGCGTTGTGGTCGAGTTATTTAACATGTTGGTTAGAAGATTGGTGAAAAGTTGCCGTTCGCTTGTAATTGCCGCTCGCTTGTGACCTACGTTAGTTTGTCCAAAAAAAATTAAAGATAGCTAACAAAGGTATTATCTTATTTAAATAAGTAAGAAAGGGACTTTTAACAGTTAATATATGATTTTACAAGACGACATTATAACAAGGCTAAGTACGCCATTGTTATAATATCTAACACATAGTGATCACGACGCCTAGGGGATTTGTGAGGGGGTTGTATCTGAGGCACCACTAGGCGGCAGGGCTTCATTTTTTCTTCCCCTTGGATATGTAGGGCATCCAAGACTTGCACGAAGACTACCTTGATGCTATCCTCATGCATGTTAGTCACATTTTGAGAGATACTGATTGCTTCTTAGAGTCCAATCAGGATTCAACAACCAGGTAGAGTGTCAAGTCGGCGATATCCCTGATCATTCAGCGTATGTGTGGTACCATTCTCTCGTTTGAAGCCAAAGCAGATCCGCCATAAATTGAGCTTGAGGACTTTATACGAGTACCTACTGTGAATGACATGTCTGGTTCCGGGAATGGGACGATCTCAATCAACTGATAGCCAGTGGCATAAAAACCTGTCCTCCATCCGCCATAGGCAGTGGATACTGTGAAGGTATCATGCTTCTGAAGGCTACAAGAGATAGATTGTGTCCCTTTGGTTATCGTGCCTCAGCCATGTGCCATGTGGGCGGCTTTCTCGGTAGCCAGCTCCTCCAATACACGTTCATGGCCTCAGGACGCGATTGAAGAGGTCATATCCAGTCGTGGCTGGTGACGTGCTGCTGGCTGGCCGGGGTCGCGAGGTGAAACTGCTAAGTGAAGTGACGGAAGAAAGTAAAAGGAATGCATAGACTGAGCTGTCGGTGCTGGAACCACCTCGCCTGTGTCCTACTACGCAACGGACTTCACCTCACACATCGCTGGAGAACCTGGGTAGTCGCAATCTATTGCACAATATTGCTACAGCTCTTCGATATCCGAACCCGTGGACCAAGCTCCACCCCCTAGAATGTCTTCGAGATCAAGTCGTAACCAACCATTCCAGTCATGACGAACATGCCCAATTGGAACAGCCAGAAGAAACTTCCAAGCATCCTTCCAGATCCATTGGTCTTGTTCTTGTCGGTATAGCCAACAGCATAGACGATCCTGGAGATACCCCAGCCCAGACCAGCGAGAGCGGTCGCAACCGGGAATCTCAGTCCACCGATGAGCATGGCGGGCACGACGCATGGGAGGTTCTCGAGGAAGTTGCCGTGGGCGCGCTGTGCGCAGTTGAAGAGGTACATGGCCTTCTTCTTCTCAGGGTCGGCGGCGTTCATCTGAGCAGTGTCGGCGTACTAGGGAGTGATGGTTAGCCGATTGTGAAGAGGTCCTTGTCCACGACTGACGTACAGGAGTTGGGTAACCGAGACCGGCTGCCTTGCGGAACTGTCCCACGCGAAGACCGTGCCAGAATCCGAGAAAGAAGGTGCCGGTGACGGCCAGAATAGTGTATCTAGGATATCATGAGCCTTGGTTCGATGCGTAGCCTGCCCACTTCTAGGAAGCCCTGGAGGTTGGAGCGTCACTTACCCATACACTGGAGGGACAATGTTAGACGCCAAAGTTGCAGCCATTGTGATTGAAGTGTCACTTTTGTGTAAAGTGTAATTATCAAGAGGACAGAGTTGACGTAAAGAGCAGAAAGCGAAGACACCGTTGAGTCCTGTTCTCCATTAGTCATGTGGTCATGTGGATACCGTACATTCTTTGCAGAATCATCCCGAGGCCCCATGCTTAGCGCCTCTCTGAATAGGCTTATCAACGTGCTTGGCAAGCCTTTATCGGGACAACTGTTACAAAGCCACAGATTCCCCTGCTAGTAAGGCTGGTAAAAGTTGTCATCCGCGCGCAAGCCACTCGCGGCAAGCAGGCGAGCTCGGGATGAATCTGCATCCGACGGAATGTACCCGACGGTAGGTCCCGAGCTAATGGGGGTCGGGCGACGTGTTGAGCCGATCCCATCCTCATGCAATGGAACCTTCAGCTCCAGCTGGAAACAATACATAAGTTGCCTGTTCTTTATAAATGTAGAATTGTGCACATTGTGAAGGCGTAATTGCACGTTTTAACCAAAATCATAACGGCACGCATCATTTACGTGATTATGATTTTAAGATGGTTGTCAGATGTTGGATCCCAGATATGGTGCCCTTAGGTGCAGTACAGGCTAGGAGGCTGCCAGGGGACCAGTGGATCCACCCTGGCATGGTGCAGTATGGTATTTAGCTGTAGATTAGCCCTGCCGAGCATACTTGAGAATGACAACAACGTTTGCAGCAACCACTCACACCCCCAAGGCTTGTGACCCTTCTAGAATCTCACAATGGTAAATATAACAGTATACTACAGGCGTAAACCTAAGTAGTAATAGCTAAACTTATTAAAGCGTTAATAAAGCTAAGTGTTGGAATAGGCTTGAACGATCAATCATAATACTCGGGTATTGGGTCAAGGTCATGATGTTGCTGATGGTTGGATTGTGAGGTCTAGCTAGACTCGCAGGTCTGGCTAAGTGACCTCACAATCCGGTATTTAATCTCTTATTTAATCATATATGTGGGTTTGATATGGATGGTTTATATGTGGAATCGCATGGATCTAATACTAAGAGCGATTAAATAATCGTGGCTTAAAAATGAGGGTTTAAATGACTTATTATATAAATGTAAAGGTATGTTAATATTGTGGATCCCAGCCACTGGATTCAGCCACCAGTATCTTATCGGATCTCCTGTCATCCAGGGCGTTTTACGATAAGGTTACCTGGGATGGCTGCCCCAGGTGACAGGAACCAACCCACTGTAATTTGGGTATTTAGATATTTCTCGGATGTGATCCTTTTCTATCTGAACGTAACCAAGCACTAACCAGAATACAGATTATCTCAACCGAGACTTGTGATAGATCTCTGTTCTGGTTCCGCTACCACAAAGGCACAATATAGCCGTTTTAACTTAAACCTTTTTGTTTTTTATTTAAGGTTTTAAACAACTTAACAAATATTAACGGTTAACGTAAATCTATATTAATATTTACGTTAATTTGATTTATTACACCTTTTACGGCCTTAATAATTAACTTAGCGACGAGGCCTTTATAAGTGAATATTAACGTAAATATCGTAAATATATTAAAACACTTTTCCCGCCTTATAAAACCTTATTATTTATAAATATCTTTTTATATTAATAGACGTTAATTAATATTAATAGAGACCCTTTATTAATCAACGTTAATCTACTTAACTGGAAGATTTTCAAAAATCTTAGCAATCCACTTAACGAGGGGGTCTCGTTGACGTGGATTGAGTTGGTCGGAACCTTGTTTCTGCTCTCTAGGCGCAGTCCGTCGGCTGATACATGGGCTGGGAGTCGTGTTACCATTCGGAATCTATGACTTGTTGCCACTGCAGTATTGACGGTGGCAGCCATAGTAGAGCAGTGGTCGTCGTGGTTGTGTTTCCAGCTCGACGTGGGTCAATCGATACAGCATCTGCGTGTTTCGTGTTTGGATAATCCCTCGATCCTAGGAGCAATGAAGAATAAATGAACACATTATTGGTAAGGAGAGCACTGCATGCCGTTGAGGTTGGAGCTCTGCCCATCGACATGAATGGCGCCAGCCTGCATAAACGGTTACCACCGTAGGAGGAGTTATCTGCATCTCGATGAAATGCAAGTGACATATTTCATACTCAATATCGCTCATGAAGGAGCGATGATGCTGCCAGGAGCAGTCACCAGAGCTGCCCCCAATGTGGTGATAATCCCAAGCGATAATGCTCTGTACCGCCAAACGCGGAGAGACTGCTTGAAATGGTGGTGTGACGGGAGGTAATTGTGCGAAGGAAGGCTTAGGTACCTTGGCCATTGTGTAATGGTGCACGCGTGCCAGTGGCACGACTAAAGTTGGCCAGAAGCCGAAGCGTAAAAATATAATCACACGGCTACGATATGATATATCTGAGCGAAGCATACACAGGAAGGGATCACAGAGGGGTACGGTGGTCTTCCGCTACTGCCATTCTATCAACAGCAGCAGCAGCATCGTAACCCTACCCATTGTCCCTGCGATGGCCTTTTCAATAACGCCCGTCATTATTCTCAGCAGACACCTACCGCCCCCGAGCAGGACGCCGTCTCACGCTACCAAACCTTCACGAAAGCAACCACGACCTCCACGACCTCCACGGAACATCCTCGCAATCTCACTCCCTCCCGATACCACAGCCTCGCCAAAAACTAAGACCCAGATTCTGCTCACCAAGGCAACCTAACCTCACTCTAACCACCAAGATGCGCACCCCAACCCACCTACTCGCCCTCCTCGTCACGGCTCTTGCATCCACCACCGCCGCACGCCCTTACTACCCCGAGCCCTACGCTCACTTGGCATCTGCTCCGCAACCATCGGTAACACCGCCAGCCACGGGCCCGACGGAGCTGTAGTTCTTGTTCGTGCAACGGCTTCCGAAGGGTTCAACGACAAGGGGAAGGAGGGCTCGACTATCGCAATGTGCGATGAATTTGACGACCACGGACAGTTGTCCTGATTTGCGGCCGCATTAAGACCTGGGTGGTAATTTATGCAGTGGGATCTGAACTTGTAAAGTCATTCCTCTTGCTCCTCTATCCCCCTTCCCCATGCCCTGCTCTCTCAAGAGTTTACCACGCCAACAAGCGCCGGGGAATAGTGATCGTTGCTGATGGACAAGTGTTTAACAGACTGATAGGTGCTAAGTGACAAGCCCAATGCCGCGGGATCCTCCAGCTAGACCGGAAAAGTCGGCTCAAGGGAAATGTCTTTCTTGAGCTGTGGAAGAAACGGAGGAGACGCCCGCTGTCACGATCCCTCGCCATGGCTCGTCTCCTTTTCCCTCCTACTTATCTTCCATTCTCCTCATCCCCCCTATTTCCCCTATCTTGCCAAGCTCAGTACCCTCCCCGAACTATTGATCCCGGCCATCTTCCCACCTTCCAACCCACACAGCATTAGTCACCAGGGCTCACTTCATTCTCGCGTCTGGGTAAGAGCATGTAATCACCTCTGAAAAAGAAAGGGGATCGGAATGGCCATCTGTTCCAACGTCGTGAACAACGCTGGGTGGAGAGTAGCTGGTGGGGATCGGATGGTAGAAATGAGCAACGAAAAAGAAGAGTGGCATTGCGAGCATGATTGACTACCTACGCAGCCCGCCGTCCTGAAGCCAAGTGTCCTGACGCTTGCTCTTCGCAGTTCTAGTGTCTAGGAGGGAGTCCGGGGAAGGAGTGTCACGACATGCCAGAAAGAATGAAGTGTCAGAGCACTGATCGTCGATATCAATGCGTAAAAGAAGTGTATCAGTGTATCATCGAGCAGTGATTCGCAAGTAGTATTCCTCGTGGCCACCTGACCACAAAGGGGTATGACAACCATCCTGCCATCCATAGAGTCAGCGATACCAGCTCCACCACCCCGAACGAGCATGTTACATCCTCAGGGAGACACAGCATTGTTGAGTTCGGATTCCCGCGCCGAGGGACGCTCCCCGTATCTTCAAAAGAATAACACCAAGAGACAAGTGGAGAGAGGTATCAAAGAGTGTTATGCGCCCCCAAAAGCCGGTGGATGTCCTGTTGCCAGCCGTTCAGCCACCATATATCACTTATGCCGTTCCCCTTCCGTAACCTGGTTATGTCACCAAAAAAGACATTGTCGCTATGATTGCCGAAAAACGCCGCCGTCATCCCAAGTAAAAGTCATGCAAAAATAGGTGACCATGTCACCGCTCTCGTTCATCCGAGTCAGCGTTCGACCGTGGTTCTCGGTTCGCTGAGAAGCGGTCCCGGAAGTTGGTAGAGAGCGTGCTAAACCAGCCATCTCTGTGCGAGCGATGGGGTGTTGTGGGCATCCCTTGCTCCACGTCGGAATTGTCGCCTTCAGCAAGTGGCCTGTCGTTGGATGAGCCTGCCTGAACCAACATATCATCATCACTATCGTCCTGGTATGGCTCGTACCGAGGGCTGGACGGGGAGCCTCGAGCAAGAGACCGGACAACATCGCCCTTGCAGATCGGGCATGTTCGTCGTCGGGTCGTCAGCCATGGGGTTCTGGGACATCTTGATCAGCCTCGCACACAATATGAAGAATATCAATGTACTCACATGCAGTCCACATGGAATTCGTGTCCACAAGGTAGACTCATAACCTGACTCACACCATCGACATATTCCTCGAGACATACAACACACTCCACTTGCCGTCCCATGTACTTCTTCCACTCACTTGGACCGTGGCGCTTCTCGTGCTCGGCACGTGAGGGTGACCGTGGTATCGACAACGCAGAGTTGGCATCTAGGAGATCACCGGCCGACATCACACCAGTAGTAGTCCGCGAGCGAGGCCTCGGCCTCGAAGGGCCGTGTTGGCTCTGTAAAAGGGGAGTAGTCGGGGACGAGCTGGTCGGTGACGGCAAACGAGGAGAATGACTGCCCGGTGTGGATGCAACAGTATGGTACGTGCGCACAGGCAGTCTTTCCACAACGGATTTGGGAGCTCGCCATCTCCGCCGCCGTATGCGAGCTCGTAGGATCAGCAAGGCATACACCACAGTGAGTGTAATCAGTGGACTGACGACCAGCACCAAGAGCGTATCAAAGAACGGGCTCGCACCACTAGATGGAGTAATAACCACCCACAAACCCTCTCTCTCCTCTGGAGGAGGGCTACTATGGTCAGGGACGGGTTTCTCAATAACGGGCATCTCGATGGGCTTGGGTTCATCGTCGACATTGGAGGAAGCGGCATCATCACCATCCCCAAATATCTTTGACATGAAACTTGTCCCATCGGTCGAAGTCGATGCCTTCCCCTTGGCTGAACCTATCGCATCCTTGCCTTTCACAGGCATACGATCTGCACCGTACTCTCCGCTGCTGGGAGTTGTACTACCACCTTTCAGCCCACTGTTGTCTTTGCTTCCCGTGTGTGCTGCCATGTCGTATTTCGCATCTGGTCTGACGGATTTACCACTTCCTTTAGAAGGAGAAAACTGTAGCTTATCTGTGCCGATCAGATCTGGATCTCGCCAGTCCTCTACACCTATTTGGAAGTCGTCACCACCCGCTGGTCGCCGCGAGCCAGACTTGTATTCGCTGTTGGTACGACTTTTGGACGCTTGTTCGAGACTGGACCTGATGATCTTATCTTTTTCGTCCGAGAAGTCTTCAACTATCACCCAATCCAGTTCGCTGCTGCTCGCAGAATGGCTTTTGTCGGAAGAGATGCGCGCGCTTAACGGTCCGTTGAACAGACGAGCAAGCCAGCCTGGGCCTGTCTGAGACGCCCCGGTGTTGGTGGATGATGGACTCTTGTTTGTACCTATGCTCGTGCTCTTAGAAACGGGAGCGACCTTGGGGTTCTGGTTCACAGCCGCTGCTTGTCTCGTCTTCTTTTCCTTTCGAGATTTGTCCGACAATTGACTCTTCGGCGAATGTTTCCCGTTCTCGTCTATTATGTCCTCAATGAAGCTCCCAGGCTGCATCATCAAAGAGAGCAAGTAGGCGGTCGTCCGAGAGGTGAATATGGACGGTATCGTGACGGTGGAGGTGTCCCCGTGGGCATACATCTGAATCAATGGACCTCCTCTTTGGTTATCGCCGACAACAAGACCGACAGCACCTCGGCGTTGTGCCCATTTCACCTTCTCCAGAAACCCACAGCCGCCACGGCTGAGCAAGACAATTTTGCCGGCGATCTCGGCACCCTCCTGTATGGACTGTATATCGGCATGACCGGAGCTCGACGATCCAGAAACATCCTTCTGCAGCTTTTGCGACTTGTCCAAGCGCTGGTGAAGGTAGTCATCGGTCCCGTCGTCGATCGGCTTGGTCTTGGACTTGGGTTCGGGTTCGGTGACGGCGCTTCGATCGACCAAAGGTCTGCTGGAACCACCTCTCTTCTGGTTCTTGGCCTTGCTGGCGGCAGCGCCAGACTTTGCTTTATGCTGTATTTCCTTCATTGACGTCTTCAACATGGTGCGAGAGGTGCCATCATTCCAGCCTGGAACATCACTGCATCCGAGCTCGCCTTCACCTTCCCCATCCTGCAGTGACTCCTCGGTAAAGCCACTGCCAATCCATAGCTGGCCGTTCAGACCCTTGGTTGGGAGTGGCGGACCGAACGCTGCCGGCCTTGCGGCGAAAGACGTGCTGTTGTCATCGGCGATGGTAATGATGGCATTCGGCGGGAAGAGCGTGAAGGGCGTCGAGAAGGAGAAAAACGATCGAAAGCTAGACGTCTTGTCGGATGGAGGAGAGGAGATGGCCGGAGTGGGACGTTTGATGGAGGTGACGGCGCGACACAGGAGGAAGAGACAAGCGGCGGAGAAGAGGGCGAGAATGACGATCCTCGGGGGTCGCATGCTGGGCAACGAATGACAGGCGACCGACGACAGAGCGTCGAGTCGGCGACGAGGTCAAGTTAGGGTAGCTGGCGATTCAACTGCAGGAATGTGAGGACGACCATTCGCGATCGCGTGCAGTGTACTGAGAAACGAGGAATGCGGGGAGAGATGATGGGTGCCCGACGGTGTCAACCAGACGAGGAAGCAAGGCGCAGGAATGGCCAAGAAATGCTATGGAATATAACAATAGCGTCGCGAGGAAGAGTCAGCCGGTGATGATGGTATCACTGTATCAGACAGTGGTTATATAGATGGCTGTTTCGGCATATAGACGACGATAGACAGAAGGCAAGACACGTGCGACACAAAAAGCAAGGCGGCGGGACGAGGTGGGATGTGAGCGGTTTGAAGCTTGACACCACCTCGGAGTGCCAATCGTTGTTAGTGGTAGAGGCTAAAGGCGGTGATGATGATGAATGATAATGGTAATAGGTAAGGTAAGCGGGTAGGTAGCGGATGGAGGGGAGGTCTCGTGCATGCGGAGAAGGAGAATGGGGGCCGACCGTCGGTTGCAGGTGTCACTCATCCAATTGGCGTGTTGACTCTAGCGGTTGCAGGTTCGCCCATAGCCACTACAGTGACTGCCAAGACTGCATTGCAGGCGCCGTATCGTCGCACTCTCTCCCCACTGCCCTCCGCCTCAGGAGACAATCTCAAACCATATCCCTATCATAGTGGTTGGAACAACAGCCGGCATCCTGATGCTCCTCAGCCTCCTCTATCACTCCTCCACGACAGATAGCTCCATCCGGCGCATGGATTGCTGAAAGGTTGTTATGCGTGTTTCAGGGCCGGTCCACGTTGTTGCCCTGAGATCAGATGAGCTGAGCTTCCTTTCCATCATCCACCCATCCTTCGGGTCCCGGCACCCATGTGACACTGGGATCAGTCGTGTCAGTCCAGCTGGCAGATATGGCTGTCAAGTCAAGTGACATCGACAAACATTCGGCTACACAGTATGTCGCCAATGTGTCTGTCACACGATCTTGACCAATCTCGAGATACGCGCGCGAGTCCTGCCATCGACGCCATCAGTGATGCTTGGAGGCCTCATATTTTAATGACAGTGGCACAAGCGGGGTGGATGCCAGCATCACACCCGTCAGAATGGAATGGGAACCAACAATCCAAGGTATATAAGGTAACGATGTGTCTTGCTATCTTCAAACTATTTTCAAGAGACACATCACCGGCCATGGTTTGCTTGCAAGGAATTACATCAAAAGGAAGCGGCACTGCAATGACAAAACGACGTCGTCAATCAAATAGTCACTTCCCAGTGGCCCGCTGATTCTTCACCCACAAGAACCTCGAGAACTCATCAGCACTGCCCGTGGTCTTGCCAACCGCCAAATCCGCCCCCATCATATCCTCATACGCATCCGCCCGAAAGTCCGCCAGAAACAGGTAGCCACTGCGTATATAATCAGTATCCGCAGCATGCCCTGAGCCAGAGTCGCCCTCGACAGTCCCGGCGTACTGTCCGCCACCCAGGGTCATGACATCGACGAACATGTTCGCAAACGGCGTCATCTGCTCGGCCGTGATGTTATAATCGCCGGTGATGTAAGCCCGGTAGAAGCCCGCAACGTCCAACGAGCCATGGTTCGAGTCCTCGCCGCTCGTCTTCGGCATCGCATACCCCCAGTCATAGATCTTGTTGCCCTGACTGCTCGTCTTGATGGTCACGCCGCCCTCGTTGAAGAACCACCCCAGGCTCGCGTTGATGATCTTCTTGTATTGGGCCAAGAGCTTGGCGTCGTCGGCCAGGATGCGGTGCGCGTTACACAGGTTCTGGAACGCGTAGTTGAACATCATCTGCTGGTTCCAGGGGACGGGGTCACCACCCTTGTACGGCGAGTCCTTCGCGAAATACATCTTGTTGCCGTTTGACAGATCGAGCAGCGAATTCAGGATGTGCCCGCTCATGGCCAAGTCCGCCTGCTTGAGGTAGGTTGTGGCCCGCTCCAGGTACGTCGCGCCGTAGCTGTGCGGGTCGCCGATGCTTACGTTCTGGTTGTAGAGATTCTTGGTCTTCAGGATCAGATACGCGCAGCTGGCCAGGTGGCCGACGGGGTCGCCTTGCTCGCCGCCGGTCTGGATCGGATCCGCAGTGACATCGTTCGGCCAGGCTGGGTCGATACGTCCAGTCCAGAGTTTGTACTGGCCTACCGGCGCCTTTGCCAGATCGTTGCGCTCGGAGAGGACAGCATCGCAAAATCGGAGCATCTGGTCCAGCGTCGTCTGCTGGCCGGCCATGAGGTAGACGAGACCCATTGCCTTGGTCTCTTCTCCGCTGTGGCCTTGCGCCCACTCGTTGCCGCTGTTGTTCTTGCCCGGCGTGAGCGTGGTGACGAAGTCGTTGAACGACTGTATCTCGTCGTTCGTCACGGCTCCGTCAAAGCTGCTGACCTTCATCTGCGCCTGCGCCGCTGGGAGCAAGGCATGCCAGATACCCATCTGAGCAAGCGCGCCGACTGACGCTAGCATATTGGTGCGCATCTTGAGTTGGGGTTGAGGGTGGTGCGACAACGATGAGTGAGCAGTCGACGTGGGCGGTAGGTATATGGTCGAGATGAGGGGATTGACTGACTTGAGCGAAAGCAGGGCTCAATTCTGGGAGGGTATTAGTATGCCAACTCCCTTTGCAACATCAGTCCTATTTCAGCTGATCGGGCCCTTTTGGCCCCATTCATTTCAGCCTCACAAGGTTGAAGCTGAATATCCGTTTGGGGTGCCCTGGTCTGACTGCCTCAGCTGTACTCCACCTTGAAGTACAACTACAATATCTCGGTTGGGGTGAAAAGAGAAGGGGTGGTGGCTAGGCAGAGGTCAACACAGCCCTTACGTGGAAAGCGCAGCGAGCCCCAGTTCAATGACTCTCATTGCGAAACCCTATTCGAAGGAATATTTGCTCTCTCTATGCTATCTTCTAGCCAGCTTTCCGCGCCAGAAGAGCTAACTAGCCCTTGATGGCCTACTCCAGCACACACGTCTATGCGTCCGGCATCGACCGATCGTGCTTCCTCATTCTCTTCAACTCTGCCAAACCAGCCGGTAATACTCGCAGCTTCTCCGTCGCATGCAATCTGTCGGTGGATGAGGCCCCGCTCTCAGCCGCGATGCACTGGACTTCTGCATCGGAAAGATCCCAGATGACCTCGAGGGAAAGAAGATGGGGGAGCTTCTGGATTAGACATCTTTCGATGGCAAGGACGCTGACATCGTCGATAAGTTTCTTGAAACCGACCTATCTCTGGCCTTAGTTGCGTGTCCAAGCAGGCTGCAGGGGTACTAACCTTGTAGCATGCTTCCATCACGTCAGCTGCCATGGAGCAGGAGAACTTGTCCATCGTACGACATCCCACATGGTGAATAGTCATGACGAAGGGCGTGAGAAAGTTGCGTCGGTTCCAAAGCCACATGCTTCCACACGCTCGGCTGTAACCAAATGCAAGACCTGTCCTACCATTCGTACATGCTCCGAGAGCGGTATTGCGCATCACTCACAGCTTACCACCTGAGTGGAATTTACCACGTCAGGCGCCGCAGGTAGAGAAGCACGAATTACCAATGGCAACTAGGCAGGTCTTATACATTCTGCTACCTCCTCTACACTGTTCATCAACCAGACTGCAGTCTGCCCTGGCCTGTTCTCTATATGCATCATTCGTCAACAATGAAGCTCGGCTTTTGCTCTCGCTTCGCTTTCGCTTTCTTCTTCTTGATCTTGCTCGTTGGTTCCTGGATCTCGCCCAAACATTTGTACAAGTCAACGCTTGCGGCAGGCTCTGGAGGCCCCGAATACTCCTCACCACATGGCTCAACGCTGGGCTCTGCGACGATGGAGGCCTGGTCGGTTTCCAACTCTGGTTCCGGCGACTCTGGTACCGGCGGCTCGAGTTTCGGCGGCTCGGGTTCCCATTCGGGTCCCGATTCGGGTTCCGATTCCACTGGCGAAACTAGTACGTTACTATGCTTTACGACCGCATCCCTCGCGTAGTAACCACGCTATCGCAATACAGGTTAGATCTCCCCATTGACGAAACACAGGGAAACTCACTGGCGATTCTACCATCAATGGGCTGTGCTTTCTAAGCCTCTTGAGCTGTGCTTGACCAAGCTCCAACACCGACAACTTCTCTGTGGCGCGCATCCGCTCAGCTGCCGACATCTCGCTCTCGGCTGCGAAGCAATGAATCTCCTCATCTGTAAAGTTGCAGACCACTTCAGGGGAGAAAAGTTCAGGAAGCTTCTGAATCAAACACCTCTCCACGGCGAGGACACTGACATCATCGATAAGTGTCTTGAGAGCGACCTGGGTATGGTCAGTCACGTCACGTATGTGTTGGCAGAAGGGTTCACCTTGTAATAAGCCCTCATGTCGTTGGCGGCCTTGTCGCATGAGTAGGTGTCCATGTTTGGCTCGGTAACGGAGACGATGATGTCCATGAGAGAGTACACATTGAAAAGGTACTCTCTCGTGCCGGTGTACAGTTCGTGTGTCCTCAAAAATTTCTTGAGTCGTTTCTCCAGGGCGACTCTAGTTCTGGCAGCTAGCTGCTTCTGCATGTTGTCAGTAAGGTAATGATTGTAGGTGATAGGATGGCCGGATAAGTGAGGTCGCAAGATCTCCTCGACCTTGGTCGCCAAGGCCCCCTTCAGGCTCTCCACCGAAGGGTCCACAACGTTGCGCAGAAGGGAAACGGTCGTTTCGTCGTCGGCAACATGCTGGAGAGTGACGTTCACAGTGGTGTACACAGAATCGACAATGCGCTCGGCCAGGTTTCCGACCAGGTTCTGCCACGGCTTGCATTGCTTGCTGAAGAGCTCAGCTACGATGAGTGGATTGTACGAGCCAGGAAGCTCCCGCCCCCGGCTTCTCCTCATGGCCACCTTGACCTCTTCGAGATAATCGGATCTGGAGATGCAGCGTGGACCATCGCGGTCCGTTTTCGGGCCGTCCAGAATGATTCTGGCATGACCTTCGCGGCGCATCTCCTCTGCGAAGTCCGAAAGGGTGTTCTGGACCACAGCTCGAAGCCGTCTTGGGTAAGCATCCACATCTTCCTTGTCCGCGAAGAACGTGTCGGTGTAGTTCCCGTCTATGGCGTCTTTCATCAAGCTCGTGAACCCCGTGCTGACACTGACGAGATGCCTTCGCTGTTCTTGGAGACTGCCTCGCGACGCCCCCAGCTTGGCTATCTTGTCTTGGCACTGCTTGATTCCAGCCTCGACATCTTCGAGCACGCTAGGCAGCTGCAACATGATTTGGTCGCGCAGGACTTTGCTAAGCCGCATGCGAAGTGCCGACACGCCCAGCTGTGATGATTCAAGCGTTGTCCAGACTCCTTTCGAGAAGAACTCAGACTCCTTCTCGTCTCGTTCGGACGACGTCGCATTGCGCTCGACATAGCTCCTGTTGCGCAGTACGTGCCAGCCTAGTCGGAACTTGACATCCTTGTTCTGGGCCATGTTTATGAAGAACCCCTCGCTATCGGAGCCTTCGTCCAAGGCGTCAGGCTTGGTGATGAGACCCAGAGTACGAACTCCCTTCGGATCCACAGCTCGTGTGTGCTGTGTAACCTGCTGAAGGGCGAAGTCGTTCTTGGCAGAGACGACGGCAAGGATGATGCTTCGTGGCTTCTCCATGTACGAGAGAACTAGCGACTTGACGAGCTGAGCATCCTCCTCAGACTGATCTTTGTTCCCGGCCATGAAAAGACCAGGAAGATCGACCATGGTCAGATGGGGCTGTGACGGGCCTGAGATCTCGACACGCAGAATATCGGAGCTGAAGACCTTGTTGTTCCCGTTGAGGCCCATGACCTCTTTGGCATCCTCGACGACCTGTCCAATGTCAAGGTCGTCAAGCTTGTATTCGAAAGCTTCGAGTCGCTTCTTCTCTTCCCCTGATCGTTCAGCACCAGGGATAATGTGAGCAATCACCCCTGGATCAGTGCTGCGGCGTAGAATGAGCTCGGTGGCGAATCGAGTACAGAGGTTGTCCTTGGTGGGAAACGACATGCCCGAGATCGCCTCGAGGACGGAGCTCTTGCCAGAAGACTGGTCGCCGCAGACGATGATCTGAGGCAAGTCCACATATCGGCTGATGCCCTGGGAACGGAGTTTGTCGATGATGTCAAGCAGGTCCTTGTGGTCCTTGGACTGCAATTGGACGTCACCTCTGGTAGCAGACATGGCGTTCAGATCTCTCGCCATGACTGTGCAAGTATGCTCTGAGAACTGATGTGGGTTGGGAAGCAAGGTGCGTCCACAGCTCCTTGGAGAACGAGGGGAATGGTTGACCGTTTCGGATGGGAATGAGTTCACCTTTATGAATCACCTCGAACTTTCACTCTGAAGTCCTCCATCCTGCGCCGACTTCCATCCATCCCTAGTCTCTGCCGAGGACACAGACAAACGTGGTCGATCTCTGTACTGTCAAATCCAGTACCCGATTTGATGCATGGTCCCGGTGCACACATCCGTTTAACGCAAAAAACACGTACCCAAACGGAACATAGCACACAGCCCACCACTGCCGCGTCATTCCGTCTCTCCAATTCAAACCACTTTCAGTTTGAGACGTGGCTGATGCCCACAGAACCTTGGCCTCACTTCTAATCAAGCGAGGCTATCTATCAGACGAGTTCAGCTTTCAACGTTCTTTTTGAACTTGAAGTATCAGGTAGCGGAGCATGCAACATGGCCTCGTCCTTCCAAACGGAGAGGTGACTTACATACAAGCTGATTGGTCTCGCCGAATGGACTATAGCGTTTGCTATAGCATCGATTGACGAGACTGATTGGTGCTCGGTAAGCAAAGGCTGTGTCCGAGGTGCAGTTCCGGACGCGGTTGCCCATTACGAGAGGCTGGCGAGCATCCACGGAACCGACTTGTGAGCAAACGGCGTCATTGGCTATTATTAAGAGGTCGGCATCGGCAGCACGCCCAGCTCAAACGGCTTCCCGAGTCGGCACCGGCTTGTGCCTTCGAAGTGTGAGCACCCGAAGATGACGGCACCAAAGACACACCATCGGTACGGGTGAATACATCTTACGGGGGTATAGATCATCTCTCGAGTGATACCTATCCGCATTTCTCGTAGGTTTGATGTTGTACTTCATTCATGAACCCTATCATGATTCCTGTCTCTGGGACTCTGTCGTCACCCTATTGTCCGTTTGATCATTGTGTCACGCCACGCAGCCAATGAGGCTACTGCAGTCGTTGCCTTGTCTCAGGCCGCGGGTAACTGCTGCATCATTCACTTGCCATTGGCCGGTAGCCGGTTCCCGTTGGCAAGTGAGTCAGCCTCGAGGAGGCAGCCCATGATGGCGTATCGGCAAAGAGGATGAGCTGTAGGCAGGCGCGCCGTTTGTCGTTCCCAAACAGGCCATCAGCGTAGATCCGACCGCTCGCACACACGCAACAGCAGTCTGCGCAAGACCCGGGTAGCTTCCGCGTCTTTTTTTCGATGGGCGTCCCCTCCGGCGCGCTGTACATGAAGACCAGGTATGGAACCACTGACTTCACAGCCAGGGGCTGGACGAAGCGGTCTTCGACTGGCGTGGATTTGTTAGTCACAACACATTACCCAAGCGGACTCTGCTTCAGTGGCTCGGGTTGATGTTTGTTTGTTTGTTTTGTTTTGTATTTAACGTGGGGGTAGCTCCTCAGTAGTGCAAACCACGCCTCCCAGAGCCTCTGCATCGCAGGGTTGTGGAGGTCTCAAGATAATAAGTACAGTCAGACCCGCTCACGGGCCCATCCCCGTTGTTGCGGCGGTATGACCTTGGGGTCATCCATCTGGTCCTTCAAGGAAGGCTATCTATCAGGGGCAGATTGTTGAAAAGAACTTGCTCTTCTCCACGAATTTTGCCCATTCTGTGCTCCTCTCCCCTAAGTATTGTAAACAAGCTGCCCTAGGCGAATGCCTAGGCAGTAGCCGATTTTTCCCCAGCCTCTTACAAAAGAAAATGTGTTGTGGTGTTTTCTTCTCACCACAGCTGCAGTGATCATTTGAATCTGTGTGCCCAAAGCGTTCATGGTATCTGGCAAAGTCGCCATGTCCAGATCTGGCCGCTAGAAGTCTGTGTAAAGTACTCCTCTTAAAAGATATAAGGTCTCTTTCAGTTACTGCATGTGAGTATACTTCTTGATACCTAGATTCTGATTGGTCTTTCCACCATTGGTTGAACTCTTTCTTGCCCTGTCTTTTGAGATCTCTCTTGACCCAAGAGATTGTAGGAAGATTTGTTGTGTCTGTTTCCAGCATGGCACCCTCTTTTGCTAGTGTGTCGGCAGCTTCGTTGCCATCAATATCTCTGTGTCCAGGAATCCATTTGACGGTCACTCCAGGAGTGTGTGCTGTGGCAAGTTCTTGAAATCGTAGAAAAATGTTTTGTGATGTCTCGGGTGGAGTCCCATTGAGCCCATCTACCACTGACGTGTTGTCCAGGCAGACATATAGCTGTTTTCCGTGTCCAATTGCCCTGGCTGCTGCAAGACCTTGGAGAGCACCATGGACTTCAGCATCTACTACTTCTGCTTGTAGAAGTCTGCCCCTTCCCCGGTATACTTCTTGTGTAGTGCCGCCTTTCCTGATGGTATAACCCCATCCAGTGCGGATTGTGCCTTGGTCATCCAACTGTGATCCATCTGAGTAGATGACAAGGTCAGTGTTCACGTTTCTCTCTTGTAACCATTGCTTGAAGAGCTCTGTTTCTTTGTCTTTGTCTTTGCGGATTGGGCGCTTCCTCCATGATGGCCTGGTAAGTATTGGTCTCTGGAAGTCAGGGACTAGCTGGAAGCTTCTTTGTAGCCTTGTTGGATCCTTGCGAGCTTGTATTTGGAGCCTGCCAACCAGAGGGTGTCTCTGATCTATTCGTCCTAGTCGGAGGCCGTGACGTCGTCTTATTGACTCTGCAAGAACTCCTGCTGGGGGAATCTGCGATTCAAAGTGTAAGATATGTCCAGGGTGTGTTTTCCAGACTGGCAAGATAGCCCTGATCGCCGTTCGTAGTACGGCATCTATTGTTCCAAGAAGCCCCTTAATGCGACATGCTGATGTCTCACCTAAGCTCCCAGTTTTCTCGATTCCTGGGTACCAGGCCTCCAGGCCATGTGTGAGAATAGGAATAACACAAGCTTTCACAGCCCTCTTGGTTGACTTTACTGGAAGTCCTTTGACTGTGTTGCATAGTCCTCGAAGGTGATTTGCTACCCTACTAGCTTTCTTGGCCCAGTGAGAAACATGGTCTTTGAAGTTTAGTTTCCTATCCAGAAGGACACCTAGCCATCGCATGGAATGCTTAGCTGTTTTGTTCATTGTTCCGTGGCAAAATGGGGGATTGTCTGAGTTCTTTTTCCGTGAGAAGTGCATGATCTCGGTTTTGTCGGGATCAAATTCAATAGCATTGTTATGTCCCCATTGGTTGAGCAAATGAAGGTTTTCAGAAGCCTCTGCAGCTGTTTCTTTAAGGTTCTTTCCAATGCAGAGTGTTGCTAGATCATCTGCATATCCAAAGCGTCTTCTTTTCATGCCAAGTCGGGCACAGATTGGCTCTGTATACAGCATGTAGAGGATTGGAGAGACTGGTGAGCCTTGTGGGAGCCCACAAGTGAGAGCTTTTATATCGGTCACAGTACCTTCAAACCGAACTCTTGCGGACCGCTCGGACATGAACGACTGGACCCATCTTATGAGAAAGCCTGGCCAGCCCTGTTCTCTCATGCGAACCACCAGCCGTCCCATTAGGGCAGCATCAAAGGCCCCTTTCACATCTGATGTGACTACCGTTGCAACGAGGCCTTGGTCAAGGGCCTGCTCAATATCGTGTATGAGTGCAGCTACCAGGTCAGTGGCAGAGCGCTTTGGTAGAGCTCCAAAATGTTGTGGGGCTAGAATTCCAAGTTTGACAACAAACCAGGTAATTCTTTTCGCAATGAGTCGTTCTAGGCCCTTGCCAAGACATGACAGTAGCGATATTGGTCTGTAGGCCCTGGGATTGGAGTAGTCTTTCTTTCCTGGTTTTGGGATCATCACCACCTCAGCTACTTTGAATGGTTTAGGGTGGTGTCCAATCAGTAGGCAGGTCTGGAAAAGGGCTCTGATATGTTCACCAATGACTGGCCAGCAAGCTTTCAGAATCCGTACTGTGAGGGTATCTACTCCCGGGGAGTTGCTCTTGGTTCCTAAAGTGCACCCTTCAGCCTCTTCCAGTCCGACGTGGTATTCAAGGGGGATGTGTGGCTTGGGTTGTATGATCTGAGCGGACCAGGGGTCGATGATATCGTTGTCTGAGGTACTTCGTTCAAGCGTGGCTGAGCGTAATGCATTTGCCTTGCTCTCTTGTGACTCGAATATTTGGTCTCCTATGATGATTGGAGGGGAACGCATTCCTGCTGATAACTTGTGCCAAGAGACGATTCTGTATAGGTCCTTTGGCTCAGTTGCTGAATTGATTAGAGTCTGCCAGTACTCTCTCCTAGCTTTCCGAACCACGCCGCGAAATTCCCGTCGGGCTGAATTCCGTCCTTCTTGGCTTGTAGTCTGTTTGGAAAGGGCCCTGTATGTCTGAACAGCTGCTTTGCAGTCATCATTCCACCAAGCAGTGGGCCTAGATTGACGGGGCCTCTTGCCCACTGTCCTGATACAGCCTTGGATCATGTTGATCAGGCTTTGTGTAAAGGTGTCCACCTGGCCAGGGGATACACCCAGCCGGGGGAGTTCATGAATCCTGGTTTGGACATTATCTGCCAGCTCCTGTAGTTTATCGTCCGGTACTATCCAATGATTGGCCTTGGGTACTCGGTCCAGATCTCCCTGGATTGGAATGACTATTCGTAATGTCTCATGATCTGAGGTGCACTGAAGTGCATCATTGACTGAGGCTTCAGCCATGGGGACATCAGAGAACACCAGATCTAGTACATTTCCGTCATCATGTGTCGGGACATCTGGTTCAGAAATCAGATCCAGTCCGTGGTCTGCCATAGTTTGTGCAAGTATAGTACCACCATGATATCCTGGATTGCTTGAGTCCCAGGATGTGTCGCCAGCATTGAAATCTCCAGCTATAACGCAGCCAAAAGGTGGAGTCCATACTTCCAGAATGTCATCCACTTCCTGTGGGTTGTCACATGGCCGGTAGACACTGGCAAATGTAATGCCTTGTACCTTGACCCAGGTGATGTCTCGTGTAGCATAGGGCCGAAGTTGATCCGCTTGAAGGTATTTTCTCACATAGATGAGAGATCTGGGCCGTGTACTGTCGCTGTCCCAGGAATCCACTGGGGAGTATATATCGTAATTGGGGTGTGTCTTTACTCTCATTCTCCTGCCTGGTGGTATGCCAACCCAGGGCTCTTGCATCAGAATGATGTCTGCTTGTTCTCCTTTATAGTCAGCCAGGTTGATGGCTAACTCTGTAGGGCCTGCACTCTTTTGTCCCCCTGCTGTATTCACAGAATGGATGACTAGATGCCCGTGTCGATGTGTTTCGTTTGATGTACCTAACATTGACTGACAACAATGGTATCGGCATCTCTGGGATGAGTTGTATCTGTTGTGTCGATTTGCATTGTGGTGTCTTTGTTATTATTGCTAGGTGTTGACCCAGCTTGGTTTCTGCCTGCTTCGTTGAAGGCCTTGGATCTGGCTCTTTCTCCGGCTAGCCTTATTTCCTGGATTTGCTCCCATGTGTGCTTATGGATGGTACCTTTCACAACCTTGGGGCGGGCAGGGCATTTGTCGAAGTTGGCAGCATGAGGTCCTTTGCAGTTGACACACTTTGGGATTGGTTTTTCGCACTCTCCCTGGTGTACTGTGTTGGCGCAGTGTGCACATACTTGCTTTTCGCATCGGTAATTCCTACCATGGTATCTGAAGCAGCTTGCACACTGGTGAACCTTGGGGGTGTGTTGAATATGCCTTGAGGTCATTGAGTGGGCAAAAAGCGTGAATGGTTTCCTTGCTGCACTGGGCAGAGAGATTATCCATGTAGTTTCTGGATCAGAATCAATCGTGTTCTTTGAGAGTATGCACCTCAGAGGTCTGTCGCCTGTTTGGGCTTCAACTTCATCGGCAACAACAGTGTCAGTAATATCGATTGTGAACCCTTCTGCACTGATGACCTTTCTTGGGCATCCATTGACCTTGTAATGATGCCAGACTGTGTGGGTCTCAATCTTTTGTGCCTTGAGAATGTCGGCAATTTCTTCTTGGAAAGCCAGAAGCTTAGCCTGAGTTGGCTTGTCCCTTGGGTGTAAGGTAAAACCAGAAGGACATCGTGTCACTTCTCTAAGCTCCTGAGGGTGGAGCTTAAGTCTTCTGTTCAGTGTAGACTTGATTCCATAAGGCTCTAGGTGGCTATTATCCATGCGGACAAAGACCCGGAGATCATCCTGCTTCTTCTTCAGTTGGTTGGCAGTGATGAGGGCGCCAGGCTGTGTTTTCTTCATGGTAGTGTTGACTGTCCATGGATGCTGTCGTTGGCCAGAGGAGACAGCTTGGGCGAAGGTCATGGTGGGCTTCCCTATCCCTATCCCGCCAGGAGTGGTCTTTCTTTTGGGCAGATCTCGGGTTTCCAGCCACTCGTTCAGGCATTTGGAGAAGAAAGCGCTGAACTCCTTGGCATGAGAGTATAGTTCGGTTCCAGCTTTTTCCAGTGTCTTATCGACTGCTGCAGCACACTCTTGAAACATTGTCATCCTGGCTTCATAGAGATGCTTGTCTTTAGCCAGTATTTTGGCTACTTGGTCCTGGCACTTTGAGGAAGAGACCTTGTTCCCTGTATCGCCTCCAATGGCTTGGTCTGTAGAGATTTCGTTTGATTGAGGTACTTCCATATCAATGATGCTGCTAGTATTAATATTTCGGGATTTTCCTTTCAGAGGGGAAACAATGGTGAAGTCAGCCTCAGAGACTTGTGACGGGCTGCTGTTGATGTCGTCGAGCAGTGCCTGGCGGAGCTTGCTTGGGGTTGCCGGGCCATATGTTCTTTTAGGGACCGGGGATTTGAGCACGCCGCCAGTAGTCGTCTTTGGGACGGCCACTGGCGTATTTGGGGGCCTATCGTGAAGGGGTGCCATCCAGCTTGTGAGAAAAATTTTCTGCGCCTTGGCAAGGATAGTCAGGTACTGAAATAAATGCCTGTTTTAGTGCAGATATAGAGGTTGCGCCCTAACAGCGGGGCGCCAAGAAAAATAGTTGTTTTTGGTAAGAGTGTGATGGCTCGGGTTGATGGGAGACACTTACGCAGTGATAATTGCCTGTTTGGAATGTCCGCCTTCTCGTCGTAATGAAGAAACCATGATAGTGTTTCCGAGCTACTGCTGCTGTGAAACAGTCCTGATACCTTCTACAAAGTCACATTTTTGAACTTCAGTTTTTGCGACGGGTCGTTTTTCAGCCCGTGTCTACTCCTCCGAGTTTCCACTCTGACCTCCAGCTCTGGCTTGAGAGATGGTTCTACATCAGGTATATCGGTCTGGCGTTTCTGGAAAATATCTCCTTCGACTAGTCCGTGTGGTTCCTGGGGGATCGCAGCTCCTTCTGATGAGCCAGAGGTGGGAGGTACAGTAGCTCTCATCGACGGTAGGGCGCCTACAGGCGGTGGAGGTAGTGGGCTGGCTTGAACCCCATCGCTGAACCTCCTGTTCGATGACTGCGTGGGGGGTCTGTCTATAGGCCACATATTCATGTTGATGACTGCATCGGGGTGGATGGCATGCTTCCACAGCGACGGTAAGATGATATAGCCGCCTGAACCTAGGAGATCGCAACGTCCAAGATCTACATATGGCCCTATGACGTCCACATTTCGGAACATCTCCTCTATGAGCTGCTCCATCCCCTACAACATCATTCTTGTCAGTCATTGCCATTGCACGGCGAGCGCGAGCTTGCAAACTCATGGTCGCCACTCACCGACCGCTCCTGAACGAGATGGAAGGGGAACTTGGACTTGCGTCCCACACAATCGTGGAAATCGATCATCTGTGTGGTCTTGTCGTTGGTCGTGCTTTGAGCCTTTTTGATCTCTGTCTCTTCGTCCTTTTCCTCCGGTGTGCTTATCCCCTCGAACTGATCTTCGGTGAGCGTCGTCCATTCAGATAGGAGTTCGTTGATGACGCTTGGGGCTGGAGGTGAGCCTTGAGCCAAAACTTGAAACGAATGCAGGGCGTTGCCTTGGCGAAGCACGGTGTCATTTGAGGCCGGCCTTGCTGTCGCGTTCGGCTTCGGTTTCTTCTGAGATTCCTGTCGGGTTGGCTCTTCATCTGCTTCATCCCGTGCTGTGACTGCTGCAGAAAAGACCAAGTCGTACAACCAGATCGCTGCGTCATTGGAACGTTTTATACCTCGTATTGGATATTGATCAAATAAAGGTAAAATTTTCTCGGATAAATCACTAAACTTAGTTACAGTAAAAGTTACTGATCTTTCGGTCCGGAGTTGAATCTGCTGATCTATCTTCTCTGCATTCGTCTGATTAGTCTCACCCTCATCGTCGTCGTCTGATGTAGAAGACTGGGCCTTTTTCATTGCTGAGCTCGCAAGCTCTCTTAGATGATGGTACGAGACATGAACCATATTTTCTGCTTGCTGTCGCGCAAAAGTCGCATTGTTCTGGTCTTCTTTGTCATCATCATCGTTTCTCTTGGCTAGCACAGCCTTGATGTTCCCTCGGGACATGTGAGCAGTCAAATTCCGCGGCATCCGTTAGCTTTGGGCCTCTTCTCACCTTGAGAGTTCCTTAAGCTGTAACGCCAGCGTCATAGTATGCAATATCATATTGATGCCGGTCTTGTGACTCTCAATTTGATACAGCAACTGCATGGCTTTTGACCGTCTGAACATCCACCTCAGTTGAGCAACAGCCCCCGAGGCGTCTAGCATGTCCCAATCTCGGTGTGAATTTTGCCAATCCGCTTCGTTGCCGCACCCACGCGCCGCAGCAGTTTCCGGCGATAGACATCCTTTCCGTTTCTGAGGATACGGCGCAGTTCATCGAGAATGGTTGATAGCTCGGATATCCCCCTCGCCATGTCAGTCATCTCTTTCGGGGCGTTGCGGGCAGCTGAAATCATGTCGTACAAGACTCGCGATAGTGAGGCTCCAGCCTGTGAGATACCGGCAATGCCTGCGATGATCGAAAGTGGATCCATCGTGACGCACTAACCGATGAATGTTGGACGGCCTGGAGATCATGAGTTACGATCGAGGAACTGGGATGTCGGTTAACATCTGTGCATGAATTTGTTGCAAAGAGGTTGGGGCAGTGTCACGAGTGTGCCTCGCGAAGAGCCTCAGATCTGCAGTCAGCACCAGACGCAGCGCAGACATGTTCTATTCCTAGGGAACAACTTTGATTGGACACATGTGTGATAATGTGCGTCGGATCTGCATTATTGTCGAGCGGGGAGCTGGCCAGGCCTCACTACCTAAGTTCAGGCGGTTCCCGAATTACCCTATACGTGAGCTCGTCGCTAAAGGTGCGTTACATTGCTTCCGCTCATCAAATCTTACCCACTGAAGAGGTACGGATCATGCCGAGGATCAGAGACCTAGAGCAGCCGCTGTTCGAGTTCAGCACAGAATGATGTTCCCTGGTAGAGACTTCTCTCTACCTTCAAAAAGTTCGACAATCTCGGGTACGTAGGCGAAGCCTTGGAAATCGTAATAAACATCCTTCGGGTTTCCTGCTCCATGGCCGTCTCCAGCGAAGACACCAGTCTCTGGACTTGCAGTTCGCCGGCGTAAGATGGCCGGCGCCTTCGTCGACGGAAGCATGACTAGATAGTCGCCGGCCTGTAGCGTGCTGCAACCTAGACCAAGGGAGGCTTCCCGGGTCATGAATAGCGTTGGGGAGTCGGACCTAGTCTCAGCGTAGTCCCACCAGGTCTGAGGTGAGAAGTATTGCACATCCTCAGCGTCCGTATTGCCAGCGGCTGGATGACTAATTCGCTGAATCCTGGTGGGTCGTCTCTGCGGCATATAGCTCTTGAAGAGATCCCTGATGGCCTTCACGAGCACAAGATGCCGTAGCCGAGGAGAGTCTTTGAATCGCGCTATAGTCGCTGTGTGCCGGCGCACAACATATGCGATACTTGCAGCGATTCTAGTGGTATTTCCTGGACGGTCAATGGACACAGCGGCAGTCTGCTCGAAAGCTGCCAACCGCTGCTTCAACAGTTCTCTCAACGATGCCACGCCGCTCGCAGGCATCGTTGGACTCGTTGCACGGCCTCTAGGGTACGTGGCCTGGAACCTGCGGAAATCGAGAGCCGTAACGCTGCTGACGCGGCCGACCATACGTGTTTGAACATGTAGCAGGCCGGAACCATCGTTTGTACCAAAACCCGCCACAGACGGTTGCAGATCGTCTTTGCAGTCACAGAGAAGATCCTGAAGGCCTGTGTCCACTCCCAGGTGTGGGAATAGCTCAGTACGAACCCCCATACGCGAATGGTGGTTGAGCATGTCCGCACGCCATGGAAGATCGTGGAACGGCACCATCCACGAAGGACGATCTCGGCCAGACACTGATTTCGAGTTGAGAGGGACTAGACTCAGGATTGAGAAGCAGCCGTCGCTGGCAATCGCGGCTCGTGTGGCTTGCTGCATGACATCGTCGACATCCCTAGTGTAATCGACATCTATGCCCTCGCTGAACCTCTGGCCTGCGATGCCCAGAATGCCGTACACAGCATCGCGTGGGTCCGTGGCCGTGGCCGCCCAAGTATGCTGATAAACGCTTAGTAGGCTATGACGCTGATCATGCGGATTCCTAGATTTCCGGCGCTGCTTCCCGGTCCTGTTTAGCCTCTCACGATCACGAAGCGCTAGTCTGAATACCTGCTCATCCGGGGACTGTGCGTCGTCCTTGAACAATAATTCTTGCAACCTCTTGGGATCGACCTCGTAAGGGCCGAAATGAAAGGTAGGTGGCTTCACGGCAGCCTCATACTCCTGCACAGTCCACACACGCTCCCACCAGCAGGGCCTCGTCACTTCCAGCGCGTCTCTCAGCGCCAGTTTGAGCCGATTCTCGTTGGGATCGTCAGTCTTGGCATCATGCTGCTCCTCCTCTTGGCCTATAGCTTCCGCTTCACCAAGCCATACCAGCACTCTGGCGGCGGACCGATAAATTGCACCTATGAACGCCACCTGGGATGCGCTTTCCAGTTTGTCATGCTGGTTGATACAAATAGCGTCAACCCGCGGTACTCTTTCTTCCTCGGTCCCGCGGAGTCTTCGTAAAGCAGCATATAAGTTGTCCGTCACCGGAAGCCGTCAGCGCCGTTGACAGTGATGGTCCGTTTGGACAGTGAGGCGCCCCATGTATAAGACAAAGCCTCGTATTCGATTCCGTGGTCATTAGACACAGCCTGGAGACGCACTTGGAGAGGCTCTGCGAGAATGCCGGGCTGCAGATATAACACTCTGATCTCGTGGCCCTGTTGGTGCAGCGGCTTGTACTTATACCCCATGGCAACGGTCGTGACAGATTCTTGAGATCTACCGGACTTGAGCCTTGTGTGTATAGAGTGTGTTGTGGAGGCTGTGGAAGTTGACTGATATCCTGCGAGTTCGCATTTGTCATCGCCGAGACCCTCAATGGCGCTGAAAGGACGTTTAGCCATGAGCAAAGGATGTCGGAGTACCAGAAGAGCGACGAGTGTTCAGTCTTGGACCATGAGGTGATGATATCGAGTCTCGTCCGAACTGAGGGGCCATGCGAGAGCATCATAAGGCGCAGTCTACCTAAGGCGCCGCATGCCTCATCAGGCGGCCTCAATTGCGGCTGAGGCGGTTCGTCGACGCGTCACGCAGCGGGAGGGCTAGATTCCTCGGGATCTCGCGCTTCTGCAGCATCATCACGTCACCCAATCATGGGCACGTAGGAATCTGCAGACTAAGGTAAGTCATCTTGACAGTACTGGGAGAAACATGCATGGAAGGCGAAAGGACCATACTTCTGTAAACATGGACCAAGTCGCGTGCAAGGCCAATTAGGTATCCCGCCTAGAACCAGACTATCGGGAATTAAATCCCCTGCCCCCGCCTATCTTGATCCTGCATGTGCGGGGATGGTTTGGAATCAACGAAGCTTGGACCGCTTGGTACAGTCGGCTGCTAACACGGAACGTGCGGCAACTTGCCAACTTCATCGTGCAGATTGCGGGAGACAGTTTGGAATCAACCACCACGTGCATTCGGCACACCGAGAACGAGGCTTGCATTGCGGAGACAGTTTGGAATCAACCATCATTTGGCACAACGAGCCTTGCTGACTGGGAGAAAAAGTTGGGCAATTGGGACCCAGGGACCCAGGGACATGTCGGTGCCGCAATATGACGTGGGACATGGAATCAACTTCAATCTTGGGAGAAACCGTCAGCTCGCCGAAGACCATTGTGACTCTAGATGGCTGCATATAAGCCGCTGAGTCCTCCGTCCAGGACGGAGATGGGCGTTTCGCTATCACGCAATCAACCCACTGAACAGCGCAATCAATCCATCGCACAGTCTTATCATACACCATGTTATTCTCCAGCCTCATTACCCTCGGCCTTGTGACGGCAGGGCTATCCTCACCAACACCATGGCGCGGTCCTCACGGTCATGATGCTGCAAAGAAGGTCATCTACTTCCTCAATGTCGACCCATCAGGCAGCTCAGTGGTAGCCATCGAAGTTGGCCACAACGGCATGCTTATGAACTCGACCGCCGTCACAAGCACCGAAGGTACAGGGTCGCAAGCCATCAACCAGACTGCCATCCCTGAAGCACCTGTGACAGCGGACCCGTTGCAAGGTCAGGATGCGGTTACCGTTGTTGGGAATGTGAGTATGAGCCGGATGGTGAGCTTGGGTTTGTGTCAAAGCTGACTGGGTATTAGTACCTCTTTACCGTGAACTCCGGCTCCGACACCGCTGTCATGTACCGGATTGACCCTGCCAACCCGCTTCACCTCGAGATGGTTGGAAAACCGATGTCTACCCTTGGTGAGGTGGCTATGTCGATCGCCTACTCAGCGAAGCTCGAGAAAGGTCAGAGCATTGATCTTTTCTACGACGTATTGGTCATGTACTGACGGCTTAGCAGCCTGTGTGTTGAACGGTGGCGCACTGAACGGCGTTACCTGCTTCTGTGTCGACGCGAAGAGGGGTCTCGTTCCAGACGGAGTTGGCCTACGCAAGCTTGGCTTAAACTCGACCACGCCAGTACAATTCGTGGGCGAGAAGGGCTCGGGCTCCGACATTCGATTCACCCCAGGATCGGAGAAACTTGTCGCAACGTTCAAGGGAGACAACATGCCGGCCACTCTTGGTCACATCCTCGTCTTCGATGTTAGCGGTCAGGGCGAAGTTGCAACAAAAGGGACTGACAACCAAGTCAGCCCCTTGGCGGCCCCCTTTGGCTTCGTCTTCGACCCAAATGAACCAGACCTCATGCTGATCTCGGACATCAACTTCGGTGGTGTCCTTGCCAAGCTCGACTACGAGACCAACGGCGCCTCCCTCGTCAAAGTCCAGAACAGCAGTACCTTCGCTGCCAGCTGCTGGGCGGCATACTCATCCGGTACGAACATGTCGTACCTCATCAGTGCCATGGCACCCAACTTTGGCAAAGTCGACCCGGTCAGTGGAGATTTAGGAGGCTTCGTCACTTTCCCGAAGAGCCTTGGAGGCGCATTTGATACCATCATCGACGGTACTACAGCCTACTTCCTTTCCGGGACCAGCGCCATTGGTGTGCTTGACGTTGCAAGTGGAGCACTCTTGCAGAGCTTCGATTACAGCGGTAGTGACAGACATTTCTGGACTGGTATGGCCATCTACCCCAACGGCGAAGGGTATGGACACGGAAAGGGACATGGTGGGCACGGAGGATGGTAAAGAGGACACAAGGTCACCGTTACGCCTAATCCTAGGAAACCTTCCTAGTGTATCCTCTTGAACGATTCCGAAAAACTCACATGTGTTTGAATAGGTATTGAATTAGCAAGCATGGCCAGTTGGACACTACTTATTAAAACAAAACGTGACACATATTTGCCCCATTTCATAGTTGATGTTTTTCGGTGATTCTCAATACCATACGCTCATAGTCTGGCGGTAAGGGTGCTAACAATGGCGGTGGTTGCCCATGTAATTGTTACGGAGACTATCATTTCAAGCAACATGCCGAACATCCATATCTCTACGCATAAGGGAGTCACGATTGTTCGATTTTGGTGACCTAACAGGTGAGCTCCATAGCCCGAACTCATAAGGTAGCTTGATTATGTGCTTGCTGATGATTATATTCAAGGGCACTACAAGATGCGCAGCAGCTCGCCTGCAGGTGTCTTATTACCTGCCTACCTGACTTCGTTTACAACTGACGATGCATATGGGGCAGACGAAAGCGAGATCCGGGCAGTAAGTAGTACGAGGGCGGTGCGGTAGGTTGGCTGCAGTAGATCTGCAGTTGGCTTGCTTGCTGCAACTTGACTGGTGGCGAACAGGCATTCGAGGCAAGGAGAGGTGGCGTCGGTCACTGCAGCCGGTCACATTGCAGAAGATAGACAGGTGGTGAGCGATAGCGATTGGACAGGGATCAACAGTCAATACCCGGTACGTGTAACACGTTCCGAAATGCCGGGTCTTTTGATCCCTTCATAAGGTGGTCGCCCTACAAAGCCCGATCTTGGCCCTACGACCCTCCTTGACCATTAGAATCGCGATGGCACGATTGTTATTGTCTGAGCCTCAATCATGACCCCACTCCCAAACCTTGCCGTCGTCATCTGCCATGGCAGTTACCATACCACGGACCCATTCCTACCCTTAATCAAGAAGCTGAAAGCAAACGGGGTTGACGCGTACTGCCCTCAACTACCCACTGCCGATCTGGCTAAACTCAACGTTAGCGATGCCAACCATCCCGACTTCAACCGGGTGCCACCGGCAGGGGGCTACCCGCAATGCGAAGAAGACACAGCAGTTGTCCTCAACGTACTCGGTCCTTTGGTTGACGAAGGGAAAAGCGTCCTCATGGTCGGTCACTCGTCTGGCGGCTGGGTTGCTACCGAAGCGGCTCGTCCTGAGTTTCAGGAGAAGTCTCGGAAGGAGAGGGGGTTGGCTGGTGGGGTCGTCGGTATCCTTTATATCGGCGCTTTCGTCATTCCGGTTGGGGAGTCAGTGCATAGCTTCTTCCAGCCGAAGGATGGCACTTTTGTTACACCCCCACTCATGACAATTCACGTGAGTACCAACTGGAACCATGTTTCGATCCTGCACTTATCCTTTCACGTCAGCCGCAGTTTACATGCTCGCTTTGGGAGACTGACATATGAGTCCGATAGAAACATGGAGGTGCTGGACTTGGGACCCTAGTTGATGCTGAGAAGTTCATCTTCAACAACCTCGAGGACGCCGAAGCGCAGAAGTGGGCCGCTGCGCTTACTGCGTCGCCCGTTCTTACTACCAAGCTGGCAAATAACGCGTATGCTAGACTGCCCTGCGCATACCTGGTGCTAGAAGGGGACCAGACGCTACCCAGAGAGTATCAAGAGGGGACGGTGGCGCTCCAGACCCAGAGAACAGGCGAGTTCAAGATCTACCGCTGCTCAGCAGGTCACTCGCCTCACCTCAATTGGACCCAGGGGGTCGTTGAGACCATCGAGGACTTTGTCAAAGAGATTCGGCACTGAATCCAGATATCGAAATAGCGCTTGAGCAGATTGATAGTACTTCATTCCCGTATTAGAGTAAAGAGCTCATCCCTAGGTATTTATGAAGTTTGGTTTATTTGCCTCCGAAGCGTTGTCTGTTAAGTGTTTTTATCTACTACAGATGTCCGACGACAGGTAGGACATAAACCGTGCATATCCAGATAGTCTATAGCAAGAAAGTAAACTTATCACTGGGAACATTTCGGAATGCAAGTGGGCTCCACCCCACCGACGATGCCATAAAAAGGCTCGCAAAGTGTACTAATGATAATGCACCTAGTAGGTGAGCTTTATAGCCTGAACTCGAAAAGTAGCTTAATAATGTTCTTTTTGCTTGCCTGTAGGTGTTTACTGTTCCCTCTATGTCGCTACGGTCACCGCAGCCGGCTGATAATTTAGGCTAGTCTCTACTTTCGATAAACATTAGGTAGGCCCCCTACAAGCTTAAGATATCTGGATAAATTATACTCACTGTGAGATTTTTGATTTACGAGCCTTGATTTATCCAGCCTGCGCAAGCAGCCATGTGCCTTTCTCTTGGCTTATTGTATACCCACCCGTATAGACCGGCGCCAACAAGGATGAGAAAAAGATCAGAGGCACTGTACCGACGTCGATGCCCTAATGTTCTTGTACCCATCTCTGGTGCAGCTCATTTCGAAATCTCAGACACGAGCTGCCCCAGCAACCATCGTTCGCGGTACTTAATAACCCACACAGCTTCTGGATCCCACCACAACCAATGTCGCCACAACCCGCGCCCATCACATATTCCGGATCTTAGACTCCTCGGTGTACCAGCAACTCCTTTTCCATCTACTCGCATACTCACTGTGTTCATCGGTACCACGAACTTTTTACCGTGTTACACGACATGACGTCCCGAGTGGCCGTATGGCGCAATGGTGAAATGCGCCTGGTTGTGTTCTCGTTTGTGCGGTGGGCGATGAGAACAAGTGGGTTCGAATCCTGCTATGGCCCCTTTCTGACCCGACTTGTGCCAGTCGACAACCAGCACACGATAGTGAAGAGGCCCCTTATCGCAGAGCCTGATAGCCACACAGCTTGTCTCCATAATATCCACTCTTATAAGGTTTTTTCCCTTGTGGTTTCCCTCGCCAGCAGATAACAAATACCTATTTCACCCATCAATGCGACATATATCGAACGGCTATTGGAACGATGTGTTTACCAGAGGACTGAGGTTCACTGGGTCGTTTTGTCACTGGACAGGAGGTTTTTCTGACGGAATCGTGCTTGGGTATTGACTAAAACCATCTGGTCACTCCAGGTTGGTACCGCTACAGCGAGGATAGGCTCGTGCGCGGATCTGAATGTATCTAGACTGACACCTCTACAACCTTGCGATGCAATGGCTCTGGGAGGCGTGGTTTGCCCTATGGAGGGACTGCACCCACGATAAATACAATCAATCAATCATCAATCAATCGATGCGTCCCGAGCACGTTGCGATCTTTCGAAAGATCCTAGACGGTCATAACATTACTGAAGACGAGGCGACTGCAGCCCATGGCATCATTGACTGTAAGTTAAGATCCCAACACCAACCGCTTGACATTACCTGCCCCTGAACCGAGCTTGTTGCCAAACTAACGTCCACTCAAGCTCGCAAGGTTCAACCAGCAGCCCATTTGGACCAGCCAGTCGGTCATGGAGCCGCGACGATCGCGAGACCTCAGGTGATAGCCGTAGCACAGCAACGAGCGGCTGCGGAACTGGCAACGTATCAACAGCCTCTCGGCCCCTACATCTGCCCGATTTGTGGCAAACAGAACAACACCAGCAACGCTCGAACCGAACATGTACGAACCAAGCATCTGGGAGTGCGTTGCCACTGGGATGGATGCGGAACTACCACAGCATCGGAGGACGAGATGGCTGCTCATTTTGCGGCAATGCATTGTACCTTCACCACCGTCACTATTGCGACTGACGATGGCGCTGTCGCCAAACTCCGATGTTCATGGCCGCAGTGCACGAAATCTTTCAAGAGCTTCTCTAGCGCGAAGCGATGCGTTCTCTACCATCAGACGTCTGACGGTGTGGAACAGCCGCCCCAGGATGCGGCTGCTCACTCGGGCCTCGCGCCGCGGGTCGAGCAGCGGAACATCATCACTGAGGAGGAGGACCTCGACGGCCAATGGTGGGATGCATATCCGGGGGCTACACTTGATGATGCTCTCATTGTTTGGACGGACGAGTAGATAGAGCAAGTAGGCCTACATAATTAGCGTCACCAGATTTACCTGATCGTTCGTATTTCGTAATGGTGACCGGAATCCTCGCGCCCTCATCTTGACGTATGCCACTCAAATCCCACTACATGTAATTACTGACGCAATCGAAGACAAAGGGGTCGTACTCATCTGGGAAGAAACGAAGACTAAGCCTCTCAAGCTCATAGGTCGCGGGATATACTCTGCCGACAGCTTGAATCATGCCTGGGTCACGACGAACGGGATACGCAGAAGCAAGTCTGTCGCTTACAGGACCGGATCAGCAACATAGAAGAAATCAACAAGGCGCGGATAAGGTAGTCGGTCCCGTACTCGCAGGTCCAAGAAGTCGAAGAAGAGCCGAAGAACGGGGATGCAGTCGATCTCAGCGGGTCGAAGCCGCTGGTTGAGCCTTTGATCCGCAGCCCGAAGCCGGGCTGGGATCCCGCGACGACCATGTGCTTCATCGTGGGCACATTGAGCTATGCTGGCGTGCAAGGCAAGCTCCCGCCGAAGCTTGTCGAGAGCGACGCCCTGGGCGTCAATGCGAAGTTTTTGCCATACCCCGAAGAGTGAATTGTCTGTTCAAGGTTTGATACAGACTCCGACTCCGATTCCAACTCCGACTCCGACTCTAAAGGCGATGAAAGAGATTCAGTCGTGTAAGGACGATGTCCAACCCAAAGCCAAACCCGACACGGAACCACCAGCCCTGCTGGCGGAGGATGAAGTGGAGGGGTGCGCTGAGCGGTGCGTCCCATGGTGATCAAAACGGCAGGTTCGAGGGATAGCGTCTGCTGTTGACCTAGAATGGATGGCGGACTCATCGTGATTCGTGTATGGTAGTCGAGCTGATGATACTCTCATAGGATGGGTCTTGAAGTGTGGAGTCCCGGTATGCAGTTTATTACTGGAGGTCCCTCTCGGTCGTCTTCGTGATTCCGTCAGGGTCACTTCGCGTTCATACAAAGCTTGATCAAGCAGGTGGTCAGAAAATAGAAAGTTATATTTTAGAACGTTCCTTGACACAGAGATAACGCCACCCCCTGTGGTTCGTCGTGCCGTGATCCCTTTTATGGAGTTTGTGCCCCCTGCCGGTGTCCAGGATGGTAATGCTTAGCGGTTCCCCATGCTGGGGGGTATGGGCCGGCCCGTATACGATAGTAACTGCTATGCTGATACATACTTAACGGGAAGTGATCATCGCGTAAAGTTCTATACATACACCATTGCAGATAATCATAGATCAGAACAGATTCATCCTGGACACTTGTACCATGTAGTGACGACTACGTCACTATCGCCACTTCAACATTTTATGCGGTGGTACCACAGCGAACCATGTAAACCAGGGTGTATCAGAGCTGCCCATGCATGTCTATAGCCCCTGACAGCCAGGCCACATATATAAGCCAACGACAGTAGCCTTCAACGACGAACTGCTTTTGCTTAAGCATCACTTCCTTGTGACATCTCCTTCCAGCCGAGGCCCCGGATCTCACTTTTTTTCCATCATATAACGCTTCGATTACATATCCTGGCTTCGACGTGAACGATCAGCATGCGTTCCTCCTTTATTCTCATTCTTGGGCTTTCTGCACTCGGGGTGATGAGCGGTCCTACAATCACAAGGGTAATTCATCCACTCTTCCAACACAATTGACACACGGGAGAGGCTGATGATGACGTATTAGGGGTCAGGGAAGGAGGACGCAGTGAAGTACAAAACCGAGAGGGATTGCGTGAACGACTGCAATCAAATCCATCTGTTCGCTTTCTGGCGCAGCAGCGAAGCCAACGACAAGGAGAAGGAAGAAAAACAATACGAAGCTCGTGACAAGTGTGCGGATGACTGTCACAGGAGATTCCAATCTAACTCTGACTGATCCTGAGGGCGGCGCTCCTGTGGTTACGGTTGATCCATAAGGGTATCCCTTGGCGCAAGAACAGCCTTTGGTTTATGTCATAGAATAAAGTGGCATTGGGCTTGAATCGCCTTGGTTGGTGGCTGCATTGAACAGGAGTTGGCCCTGTGATTAGAAGCCAAAGCTGGATGCTGGAAGTATCAGAGGACTATAACTAGGTTCTAGATTCCATGGTACTGAAAGGGATATACATTAGAGTCATTGTCCGTATCGCATGGGCTTCATCAATATGTTATCTACGCAAGTTGGAGATGATTTTATGCGTGAATGTCAATTAGTGACCTACGCGACAATCCTGAACCAGGTCGCTAGTTTATGCCGGATACCCACGATCTTTATAGAAGGGATCGAGCGTTGGTAAACGGCGACCACGTCAGGTCTCAGAACAGCAACAGTGGCCGGCATGGCTGAGACACTGAGACATGGCCTAGGAACTGCCCAACGTCTTGATCTCCCTGGCACTTTCCAAATGGAGTCTGGCATTATCCAAGGGATAGCCTGCCATCTTGACTGCTATCAGAGTTTGAACCTACTCAGATGATGCCAGTCAGGGACTTTATCTTGGGGCTGCGATTGCTGTTCATTCTCGTCATTCCTCCTTGGAATTAATAAACGCAGTATGCAATCTGGCTTCTGCAAGTCACCATGTCAGGCCTGCGTGCCAATCCTCCAAGCGCTCCTGATGTGGCAGTGAGGGCGATGCAGCGTCATGGATGTGGAGTCACCCATAGTTAGGATCACCCAACATTCCTTTCGGTCGAGCCGATATAACGTCGGTATTCAAGTTGGGATCCAGATAAGAGGATGTTCTATTTCTCCACTTTTAAGACGACAAAGATGACGCTTTTGATATGTTCTGTGTATAAGAGCATCGCTGTGCCTCACGAGTCTTGTCGTCGATGCCGGCAATCGTCTCCCAAACCAGCAAGTGACAAATGTGCTGCAACGTATCACCGATCAGAAATAACAAGTACCATGTGTTCAATGACGTGTGCGGGCGTAATGGCAAACCATTCAGAGCCCGATGACCCCTCTCGAAGAGAATCTGTCATCCATACACCCTCCCTTCAATTTCTTAAACGGGCATCATGCCCCTCCTACAAGAAAAAAACTCCCACCGCACACACTAAATCATCAACATCAACAATAGTCATGCATCTGTCATCCGTTCTCGCCATTATCAGTGCGTTTTCTGCATTCGGGGCAGTGGCCAATCCCTTGACCGAGAGGGTATCTCACTCTACTCAGTCCATGTAGATGTCACACAGAAGAGGTTGACATCGATGTTTTAGGGGCAAAGCCTGGGGAAACAAAAAGTCAAGGCAGGGAAACCGAAAGACAGCCTAAGGTTATACCTCGAATGCTTTGATGATTGCAGTCGGGACATGTTCGACTACGGGAACGAGCACCCTGAAGAAGACCATATGTCAGAAGAGCAAAGAAAAATATGGAGGGAGAGTGACAAGTGCTTGGAGGATAAATGTAAACAGTTGAACCCAGGGGTTGTTTCAGATGATGACTAGCTCTGACCTCAACAGTCATGACTGACAGGGGTGCCAATTCTGGGCGTTATCCATGTTTTCATGGTCCCTTACCTCGTTTCTATCTTGAGCCTTTGATTGTGCGTGCATAGAAACAAACCACTCAAGCTTCTAAACTAAACTATTCATTCTAGTACAGCACCACATTTAAAACCCAACGAGGTGTCCTTAGACCGGGAACCTGGCTTACTATACTTCTTCCACGACACAACATACTTCTTCAACGACACTCATAATTCTGCCCCACATCCTACCGCTCCTAACACGGACACAACTGGCAAGCAATGATCGTCTTGGCTATAGAAGAAAATTATAAGTAACCCATACGGCGTAGGCACCTTTGTATTATCGCTACTTAACGTTCCTGATCGGTCGCTTGCTTCGAGTAATATTTACTTCATCAACTGCCGTAGTCGAAGACAGCGAAGAAAATACGAGAGCACGGGAATTATCCGAGACACAGTTCCAACCATGAGTGGCACTTCACATCACCGGCAGCACGGGAGAGATGGACAGCAAGGACACCGTAAGCCAACCCCCTTTGCAACTTATTGTTGGATATCATACAAGGCTGAGGCTTTCGGGGCTGAATGCTCTAATGGGCTTAGCTTCAGGGCATTCAGCTGGCGCCATTATCGTATGATTATCTGGTCACCCTGATGGCACACCTGTACACATATATGGGGGCTTCTCCCCCAGAGATCTTCTTCTCTTCCTCTTTTAATATAGAACGGTTTGAAATCTCTCACTTATGCTATCTGTAGTCCTCCAACGCGTTATCAGTCTCTAATGAACTCCATCTCTAACCATGTGCCATCCTCGCTAGGACACGCCCAGGCTATCAGGGACAAACTGCTTTGGGAGAAACTCAGGCGGATAAGTTGGGAGCAGAAAGAACTTGAGAAAGGTCTGATAGCAGGAGCCAAACTCCGACGTAAGCTTTTGAGGAATTTTGGGCGGAGAGGAAAAAGTTAAGAATAGCCAGGCGGAAGGAGATGGGACTGCCAAAGTCAGAGAACAGTGAAGACGACGATAAGAGCTTATACGACCCCAAGCCTCCTGAGGCAGGCGCTGGCGCAAAGGCAAAGGCAGACGCAAAGGCAAAGGCAAACGCAAACGCAAACGCAAACGCAAACGCAAACGCAGGCGCAAACGCAGGCGCAGGTGCAGGTGCAGGACCAGGCACAGGCACAGGCGCAAATCCTGGCCCACGCATAGGCCGTCCAAGACATCGTCAACAGCCCGGAAGACACCGCGTCCCGCACGCGGGTCCACGGCCTCACGAACCCCCTGATGCCGGTGCCGGCAGCAGCAGGGAAAGCAGGGAACCCCCAAGCGGTCGCCCGGGCGGGTTCCTCGCCAGAATGGGGAACTTCTTCTCTCGTTCAGGCAACCGAACGCACACCACGCGCGGCCGGGTACCGCACGCCTCTCCGCGATCTCCTTCTCAAGGTCCGCCGGCTGCGTCTCGAGGCTCGCCGACTGGTAGTGGAGTTAGCCCTCTGGGTGGTTCTGGCGCTGGTCAAGTAATTCCATACCAAGCCCCAGATCCAGGGTCTCCGGCGTACCAGCGTGCCTCCACCTGCAGCAAGGTAGTCTTCGGACCTCGTGAGTGAATATGGTGTCCATTAGCAACCAGTAGGTCAGTTCTCGATTTCCAGCATCTGTTTCAATCCAGTCTCGGCAGCTCTGAACCAACGACCGCGCTCCTCCAGGTCATCCTCCACCCCACCCAAGGCTGCCTCCTTCCGCCTCCTTGATTCTTTGGCTGCCGTGGTGCTGTTCTGTCGCTTCGCTTCCAGCGGTTGCATCTCAGCATGGAGACGCTCCAACTCCTTCTTCTTGCGCGGGACCTGACTCTGCAGCTGTTCGAGTTGGCGATCCAGCTCAGCCCTCTGGCGCTTCTTCGATTCCACCAGGTCGAGCGTCTTGGCCAATGGTAGGTTCAGCTCGGGGTTCGGGCTTAATTCCGTCGCCCGTGTCTCCCTCAACTGCGCGACGGCGTCCTCGAGTTCAGAGATCTTGGCCGGCATCTCCTCCAGCTTCACCGTCTCGAGTTTGATTCTCTCGTATTTCCTGCTCAAGTCCTTCGCCTTCTCCTCCAGATCCGTCACCATATCGGCCACCTCGGTCTTCAGGACCTTGAGCGTGGCCTTGGCCTCCAGATTCTGCTTCTCGAGGTCGACATTCTCCTGCGGACTGACGATGAGAGGCGGATCGCCGACGATGGCGCGGATGAACTTTTCCTTGGTGACCTGCTCGACGTAGCTGAAGCGGAGCTTTGCGAACAGCTCTCGGTAGTGGGTGAGGTCGGCCTCGAGGGAAGCGGGCGTGGTGGCGTCGAGAGACGCGTTGGAGATGTCCGAGGTTCGTTGGTGAGGGTCTTGCAATTGCGCGATCTCGGTGGAGATGGGTTCGCTGAGTTTGAGAATGGTGATTTCTTGTTTCGCGACGAGGGCTTGAAGTTGCGCCAAGATGTCTTCTGGCGAGCGTGGCGCCATGGTTGAACAGCGTCGCAGTCGCAGTCGAGGTCTCGAAACGAAGCTGTGGATTCTGAATATTGACCAGTTGATGGCGAGTGATGCTTTTGGCGAAGGTGTTGTTGTGTTCAAGAGGAAGAGTGCAGATGGACTAGGTTGGAGGTGGATTGTAGATTGTGGATGCTAGATTGGATCGCGACCTGACGTCGAAATGCCCAAAGACAACCCTAACCTGGGGTTTATTTACTTTCGCCCCAAAGCGGAAAGGTGCAGCAGCGTCTTATCTGAGCCGATAGCCGCCGATAACCCGCCCCGCCTACCTAGGCACCTGTACAGCCCCACAGCAGGGAGCCGGCAGCTTGCCGCCAGCCCTGTGGGTTCAGCTGATTTCATCCATTGAATCCAATCACCTCCAATTGTCACCCCGCTGACCGTCTCTACATCGTCTGACGGCTGGAACTTGGGATAGCTCTTCCTTTCTCCCGCCTTTAATGCACCTCCTCCAACGGTCAACAGTCCTTTCAATTCAGGGCTTTTGTCGCTCCCTTCCATTGCCTGCGGCTCCTATACATACTCCAGCAGCGATATGCCTGATCACGAGCTCCTCACCGATGACTATGTCGCCAAACTGCTGGCCCAAGAGGCTCAGGACTGCTCGCTGAAGTACTCCGCCATGGGTCTGGACGCCTATAAGTCGGCCAAGTGAGTGTGTTTTTGTACACTCGAATGTCTTTTGTGTTGCGTCTGTGGTCTTTGCTAATCTACTGCCTGCAAAGACGCCCTGCAAACCAACCCAAGCCGAATACCCGCTTCCTAAACAACATCATCCGCGATACCAACAGTCACAACCGGGCGCTTCTCGCCAAGGAGAAGGACGAATCCAAAGCGCGGCTGCGCGATCTCGAGCATGCCGAGCAGGAGAAGCAACATGCAGAAGAGCGCAAGTCGCAGAAATCACGGCCTGGACCCCGCGACACTCGGAAGCGCATGCTTGGTGACATTGCCGCTATAATCGGTGGACCGTCTAAGAGGCGCAGGACCGAGCGCAATGATAGACCTGCGAGCAATGCCTCAGAATGGGCACAGTTCGCCGACAGCAACGACTCCGATCGAAGAAGGAAGACTGCAGGTCAGGGCCAGAAGCGCGAAACGGAAAGCAGCAACATGGGCAAGGAACTCTTCTCGGAATCACCTGGAAACCGCCATCGTAGCCGTCATCGGGACAGAGACAATCCATCTGGCAGATCCAACTCACCAGTAGGACATCGAAGCCGAAGGCAGCGAGAACGTTCACCACGGCGCAAGGGGGATCTGTTTGACGATCGCGGACACTCTGATAGGGGAAAGCGCCTCGAAACCGCTCCATCCGATTCCAAAGAAGACTCCTCCGACTCCGACCCTCTCGAAGACATCATCGGCCCAGCACCTCCCGACAAGCCTACTGTGCGACGCCGTGGACGCGGCGCTAATTCCGCTACGTCTGGCATAGATAGTCGATTTGCGCCTGACTACGACCCCACGACCGATGTCACTCCAGAGCCCGAGGATATCGTTGGGGACTGGGACGATGCGGTCGAGACATTCCGCGATCGCCAGAAGTTGAAGCAACAAGGTGCGGCTAGACTCCGTTCCGCAGGCTTCACCGAGGATCAGGTCCGAAAATGGGAGAAGGGCGATCAGAAGGACGAGTCAGACGTGCAGTGGAACAAGCGAGGAGGCGTGAGGGAATGGGACCGCGGCAAGGTGGTCGATCAAGACAGAAGCGTGGCCGTCAAGGCGGAATGGGGTCGGCTAAAAGACACGTAGATGATTTGCGTGGAACATACGGAGCCACGGTGTTGGAGTTGTACATTGCACACGTAATTTTGAGGGGGCCTGGATTCTTCATTTGGCTGTATTGCGTTGGCATTGGTGGTAGCATCTGCATCTGCATGACAGGGCGTTCACGCGAGGGACTTCATTAGAGGGGTTGGGTTGACGGGTACCCAACGACCTCTTCCAGGATGAATGGAATGGCTTCAAGTCCCGAACCCCTATCTATCTATGTTCATCTGTTTGTGGCTTACTACTGATATCGCTTCTCCTCTTTCACGAACTACAGCTAGAGAAACCCGATCTTTACTCCTCCTCGTCGCCAAACAACATATTCAACCCATAATCCGATCCTAATCCACCATCATCATCATCATCATCATCATCATCATCATCATCATCATCATCATCATCATCACCGCCACCATCGCCACCCTCTGACTCAGTGGCGAACAACGTCCGAAGCCCATAGGAGCCGCTCGAGGCGACGGAAGGAATTCCGGATGACTGCGTATCCCCAAGGGTATGACATGGCAGTTGCGGCGCTACCAGGCTCGTGGGAGAGTCGCTGCAGTCCCATGTCGGAACCGCCCGACGCGCTCGTCCTACCCGAACCGCCAACACCGGTCGAGTTCGGAGAGGCTGGCGGTGCCTGAGCTGATACATGACCCCCACCGAACAGGAACGGACGGAGACGGGAAATGTCGCGCCTCCGCTTCAGACTTTGGAAGACTTGACCAGCCTCACAAACGAAGGATTGACCCACGCGAGGTGAAGCTGATTGCTAAACATGTGACGGTGGGGGCAGAATTCCCAGATCTTCGTGTGATGGTATGCGTTGGGGGTTCTAACAACGAGCTGTCTTGGGAAGTCACAGACTGAAAATATCTGGTGTCCCGACTTTTTCCAATCGAGTTTTCCAGGCCTCCACAACCAGCACGAAACGCGCAATTCCAGCAAAACTTGTCATGGGGGCCAGGACTTGCTCACAGGTGGCGGTTGTAAAGTTCCCTAGGACCAACTCCAGCACCGATCTCGTTCCTGCAGAGCGGCCAACTAGGCGTCAATGAAGGTCTGAGACAGTATCGCAATCCGGAATCTACACTGCTTCCAGTTCCAACTCGCCTGTTTCATCAGACCCTTGATGACGTCCATTGTACACCGCATGCACAGGGGCATGTATGAATGGGGGACCAGTGCCAACGTGGCCGGAGGCAGCTCCCTCAGCCCGTACGCGTCCGGTTCCGCCGCAAGCTTGACGAGGCTTAAGTCCTGGCTCGCATCCATAACCATCGTCAGCTCCTCCAATGAGTGTAACGCTGCTGCCTCCCATAACCCATTGCCAATCTTCAGTTCGTTGAAGAGGCTGCTCAACGGGTCGACCCAAATCGCCAGCCGTCTGATCTTGCTACTCCATGCGTGGGCGCCCATCAGGTCCAAGGACGCGATCGCGGGGCGCCCATCCAGGAGCAGCAGGTCTTGCTCCCAGTTGACGCGCTGGGGGTGCCGGTCCTGGGCTTCCCTCATGGGCTGGATTTTCCGCATGACGCTGGGCATGGCCCAGGGATGAAGGCGCCACCCCTCTTGAATTACCCCGTCCCACATGCGATGGGCGATGTCGACCATGATGGGCTCTGCCACGGTGCCAGAGAGTCGCGCTTCCTCTGCTGCGGTTCGGCTCTCAGCAGTGATATTGACAGCTACCTCGTTGACAGGGCCGCTGTTATAGATACCGCTGCCGATGTCGTTGTCGTTGCCAATGAAGTCGACGGTCTCGAAAGTTAGAATGTTGTGGATCACGTGGTCGCCGAACCATAGATAGTTGTCCCAAAAATTCCCATATGAGGCGACACGGTGGATTGGTGGCCCTCGCTGGAAGTGGTATGCCCATATCTTCAACCGAAGTTCGGGAGGTAGACGGTTGAAGATGTGGAACACCGTGGGAGCGGTCTCGCCGGTCGGTCTTGCGATCCCAGACTCATCCATCTCGTATGTTTGGTGTTGAGGCTGCGTCGTTGTGAGAGTTCTGGTTGGGGCCTGCAGGTCGATGGGTATTTTGAGTATCGCCAGCTTGAGTGAAGTGTGGGTGTCATGAGCAGCCGACACTGAAATTCTGAACTGCCTCGCTCGCGTGCTTTTTTAGCTACCTCTGTTTTGAATCTCGCCAAGTCAACGTGTCCAGACTAATTTCAAACTCTAAAGCAGCCACCAACATTATGATCTATTAAGCGCCTCATCGATGCAGAAAGCATGACTGTATTAGGGATTTGATCCTGTTTGAAAGACGCCATTTCTCAAAGAGGACCTCGAGGCCGAAAAAGCTCGTGCTAAAACCACAAAATGGCCTCAAGTGTCAGTCCCCAAGCCACTCAAGTATATTATACATCTTCCACCTTCGCAATGATTGAAGCAGTTCAAGGCCTGAAAGCGATGTGCCTCAAGTGGCGATAACTCCATCACAAGAGAATGGAGACTCGCCTCTTCATCCGCGTCCGCGCGCATTCACTGCTGTCCCGATGACATCCAAATCACAAGGCAGACAATGAGCAAGCAAGCAAGCAGCAGTGATGTTTGCGAGGCCTTCATCTGACGTCCCTGCTGCGGACCTTGCCCTGGGAATGAATAGCCGATGTGTCACAGAGGCTGAGGGAGAAGCGAACTACCAACAACCAACTGACCATTCCAGAGGATTGACTAACAATGGCGGTCTCGCGTGACACGGCTGCATTCAGACGAGCTCTGATGTCTACATATACCTCGAACGAGCAGTCTGCAACCACGCGTTGGCCGTCTCGCAGTCTTGTCAAGAAACGAATGCACTATCGAGTACCATACCACAAAACGCATTGCTTTCACCACCACCATGTGGCGCACGCGGAGTTTGATACTTGGCTTCTTCGCCATCATCGGCATCCAAGCCAGAACGGTAAGTGAATTATGCCCATGTAGACCTTGTGCGCAGAAGGAGACATGATCGCTAACGCCCGCCAGAACCGAGATGACACCACACCTTCTGTCGCTGAGCGCTTCCTGGGGTACGCGGTAGCGCCGCTCGTCATGAGGGGAGCCATCGAACCCGGCGGCGACGAAATGAGCTTCAACGGCACCGTGCAAGGAAGTCGAGGCCTCCCTCTTCCTCCATATTGGCGCGAATGTCACACTGACAGTCGTTTGCCATCAGGAGATCGATGCGCAGATACGACAGCTAAAGCCGGACTTCTCCTGGGACGACTTCCAGCCAGCGATGCCGGCCACCGCGAAGGCACCACGAAACGTCCACGGGAAACGAACTTGGGTAAGCGCAGCACCCGTCGGCCTAGGAGACGTATAGAGCACAGAATGAAAGAACCCCTACTGACGCACCCCCACAGCAAAAAGTCCTCTGCCACGTTCAGAACCTCCCATCGGCCTCAAGGGACTCCATCGAGGCGAACTACGCATTCCTATACAAAATCGCAACGCCGATTTCTGCTCCCGGGGGAAGGCAGTGCACGCAGGCATCGTGCAAGGCCGGCGCGGCCGTCTGGTTTTGTAACGACAACTTGAGCTGGCACGGGGAGGAGAGCCTTGTCATTGGCGACTATGTGCACCATATTACGGGCACGAAGGAGTGTGAGGACGCGGGGAATAATGAGATGGTTCAGGGGCAGGTGTTTGATACGGAGGGCTGGAATGTTATTGTTAATGGGGATTCAAGTTGCACCAGTCCCTAGGGGGGTTTGATCGATGGTCGTGGTGACGATATGTAACGTTATATCTTAACAAGTGGATATATTGCATAGGTCGAATGTCTTCGACGTGAGGAAGCGATTGGCCCTTTATCTATCCAGAAGATAGGAAGATAGAGACAACACCAACAACATCACTTGGTTGCGATGACGCGGGACTCTATGACACTTGCACTGTGGTGTCTTGTCTACTGGGCCAGCGGTTGCTTTCATCTATCGTCACTACTGGAGTAGAACCACCGTCAGTCTCGGACTTGGGTAGCACACCAGGAGTAAGGCATGGAGTCTAACTTATAACCCGGTGGCATTGTGAAGGCAGAGCGATGCCGAACAGGCAGCACTTACAAGGTACGCGATCGTCAGGTCCGCACACTCACCCCTTTTTTCGCCCCATTGGAGTCGGTAACAGGTCACAGAGCCTAGCGTCACACAACATGTATACCCCAGCATCCTGTCGCGCAGAGTCGGATTTTCGAGATGGTGCTAAAGTGAGGAGGCTTGCAAGTTCCATACGCGCTTGCGTCGCTAAGCACCGCGGACACATACCTACTTCCAGATGCGACTCAAAGACAGATCGACAATGGTCCAGGCTCGACCTCTTCGGACCGGAACTGACAAGCAGGAGACATTGCTGTCCGGTTGGCGAGTGGGAGAAGTAAATCACTCACAGGCAGATGGCGGACGATATAGCTCACCTCTCAACACATGGATATCCAGGATCAGGAATCAGAACACAGCAAGGCATGTTGAAGAGTCCAAACATTCGGGTACACAGATAAGTTGGCCAAGTACCGACCTCGACCTCGCGGGCGGCATACCCATTCCGATACTATGGCCTACCCGACACTTGCCTATAGTCAGCATCTTACCGGTCACGCTTAGACCTGCCTATGTGCGCCTCATCCCCAAATTCGGCTCTCTATATCCGTTGCCTGCGCGGGTCACGGCACGGACTAGCACATAGCCACGCCGCATGACATGATCGGGTTGCGTGCAGTCATGCAGTGAACGCCGCAGACGATAATTGGCCTCATCCGACCGCGGAGGAGACACCGGGTGGTCAATACATTCCCATTCCCATTCCCATTGGAGACGGTCAGCCTCTGCGGTATTTTCTGGGAGCGAACAGCCGACAGCTAGCTACCTATCACATCGAAACAAGATGAGAAACAGATGAGAAAAACGAGATGAAGAACGGAACCGTTCTGCATAAGCCAATTCACTCGAAGAACACTAAATATATGAATGCCCAGAGATGCGGCTCCCATTCGCCAAGCACGGCTGCACGTCGCCGGCCGCCGTAGAGCACAACACGCAGCATGGAAAGCAGGCTGGGCGCTTCCCATCATGCAGATGGTACCTAGGTAACGGCTGCGGTTGGTCACAGTCGCAGGCGTGGTCATGGGCATATGGGAAACCGGACCTACCGAACCCCATCCCGGCACGGGGCCTGCTGTGTAATGCGAGCATTCCCCTGATTTGTCTGCCCGCTAAGACAGCGTCGCACTGTCATCGTCCGTAGTGGTGTGAGTGATATACCAGGCCAGGCAGGCCGGGTCCGGCGGCATGGTTCTGTCGTCAGCTGCTTGCTGCTCGCTGCCTGCAGGTCAGCCTATTGGGGAAGCCGAGGGGCTTGTGATATGCTCTACCTCTCAGTACTTATATACGACCTAACCTACAGGATAGGACACGACGGGATACGGGTGAGCTGCACCCCCAAATCAACTCCCAAGTTGGCCCAGCTACCTAGACTCGGCCCGAGGCACGCGAGTGAACCGGACGTTACGGGCTTTATAGATGAATGTGTGTACAGACGTGAACCAGGCTTCGGCCAGGACAGCCCGATGATCCAAAGACAATCGCCTGTCTGTTAGATCGAAAAGAAGTCATAATAATAAGCTGCTGACCGGCCTCCTCATCTGCATGTCCTTCCGAGCCCGACGAGTAACTTATAAGTTAAAGTCCCTGAGTGAGAGAGCAACGCATATCGTGGCTTTCACCGTTGCCTCTGAGCAAGACTGCAGCCACGCAGGTCTCAAACTCAAACGGCCACGGCCATCACAAAGCGCAGGCCCGGCTGGAAACCTGTTCCTGCTCACCGATCTTCCAGTTCGCTGCAGTGCAGTAGAGTAGCAGTATGTATGCAGGTGCATTGGTAGGCTGGTAGGGAGGTCGTAGCCGTCCGAGTCGCGGGCACGAATCAACAGTCTGCCCGCTGCCCGCCAAAAGACCATGCAGCAAGCAGTAGCAGGCAGTGGCATCGTGTGTCCCGAGAAGTTTGCTGCCGTATCATCCATCCAGTGCTGCGAACCGGCCAGCCGGCCCAGCCACAGCCAGGAGCCAGCCAACCTTGACGAGTTGGAGAGTGCAGTTTGGCAATTCATGCAAACTGGTCACCTTACCGCCATAACATGCGTGCGACGCAACAACGATCGGTTTGTCATATCATCCTATCCTGTCCGGTCCGGTCTGGTCTCCAACCTAATAATAAGAACGTAAGCCGGCACTTTAGAGAAAACAAAGGGAGCCCGAGGGGATGATGATAGGACGGACAACTCGAGCCGAGCTCGTATACGAGAGAGTAGCAGGTGCTTCCAAGTGCTCTCCAGACCCCTGCTACAGTACCAGTACCGTAATATTCGCATCCCCGCGCTCCGGGCGGGCAGCATGTGACGACATGAGAAAGGGCGCCGACGACGCCTCTCTCTGACTGGCTGGCTAGCCACATACTCCAAACCAACACGCCACATGCAGCTCTCGCGCATTATAGTACCAGTGGCACCGCATCATGCAGGATCTTGCGTGGCCAAGAAGGCTTGTTTTCTCCTCTGGCTGTCTGCATACCAAGAACACTTCCAACGAGGTGGCACTGGTCGCAGTGATGAGACGGGATCATTGGAGCAACGAAATCGGGAAGGTTCCAAACCAGCACACCACCACCAACACTAGCCCGGAAACCAGAACCACAAGCCTGGGACCAGGAGAACGACGGTGCTTGTCCCGGTGACCACTGCAGCAGTGGGCCAGTGGCAGCCGACTTGACTCGTTGATTTGGTTCGCGCGGGGGATCAATCCCAAAAGGCCTACCCGACGAAAGGACCACAGAAGAAAAGTTGAGGGCGAAGAGCCGACATGCCGAACAGCGGGAGTCGGGTGTCAGGGAGTGCCCTCCATTTCTTGCGAGTCGCGACGCGGATCCCGAGCTTGCTGGCAGGGCAGACTTGTAGCGACCACCTCCGGCGGAACAACGACTGACCGCCAGCTTCGCGAGCGTGAGCCCGACCCATATGATGAGTGACTAGACCATCCACTTTGATAACTAGCTACAGGTAGACAGTACTTTCGGCCCTCGCGTTTCGAAATCGTGGCCAAGAATGACCGGAGACAACGGAGGCGGGAGGAGTCTCGCAGTAGAGGTGGAGGAGTCCCAGCCCGGGAATAACACAAAAGCTGGATGGTGCGGAGCAGATAGTGACGCTTGTCAAGTCGCATGAATTGATTGGCACCGCCCTGCCGGCCAGTCAGCCTGTCTTGTCTTGCCTTGCCGATCAGCTGTTGTGCTTTACGGATGGATGGTGGACGGTGGACGGTGGATATCCTCTTCTGAGGGTGTATGCATGCGCCGTTGTCACGACATATTTGTCCCGTCGCTAGGTACAATGGCGTTACCGTTGATAGTTGCGTCATGAGATGCCTTCATTTTCGGGTTCGTCCAGTTGTGTATCCATATGGGACGAGACGTGGAGGAATCACAACCAACACCTGGGGAGGAACCCCAATCCAAGGCATGCAAATTGTATTCTCTCACAGCAATTTTGGGCGTCTACAGCACCTGGTCTATCGGACAACGAATCTTCCCCCACGGTAGGAGCCTTTCCCCTCAGACATCACCTCGAGTCTCCCAGTCTACCAGCGATGCTTCTCTAGTAGAACACGGAGGGTGGGCAACGCCTCAATAGTACACATCTACCCACAACTCCTTTCCCATGAGCGAAACAGCCAGCCCCCAGATGCAAATAGTAATCGCCAAATGTGTGCTGGACGAATATGACGCCGAATCGTACATGGAAGCCAGCCGCACATAACTGAAGACGAAGTTGAAGGAAGAGAGAATTAGGACATGTGGTATCGTGAACGTCATGCTTTATACAGCTCGTCGCGGGCGTCTGAATGCAAAATCACGAAAATCCACCCCGTTGCCACTCATGCGAAGGGATAGGATATCTCCCACCGTATAACGCCATTGTATGCGATCCCAGAACCGGTGCATGACAGTAGAAAGAATTTACGTCTTCGGTCTTCTTCAAGGTGCTCGTTCCATGCGTTAGTAACCTGGCTTACCAGGCATTGGCGGAAGCCCATTTTTGGCGGCGAGTGGAGGCAGGTGGTTGTGGCAATAGATCTTGCCGGTACTGCCATTCATACAGTCCTTTTTGGACACGTCGATGACCTTGGTCGGATCTTCGTAGCTCTCCAATTGGCAGCACGCCACAGTCTTCATCCACCTATGTGTAACCACATCGTTCATCGTGATCCGGTGAGTCGGATCGGGATGCAGCATGTTCAGCAGTAACCGCCGCAACGCAACGGGCTTGACGACAGCTTCGAACGGTGTGGATTTGGGATAGGCGTCCTTGGCAACCTCGTCTGGCTTGGCGGCCCTTTTGGCGTCCAATTTCCCCCATCCCGACGCTATTTCGTTGTAGTATAGCTGGGCCCCCGGCTCGGCCTTCTCCCAAAGATTCCCGCCGAAGATGAGGTAGATCATGACAATTGCCGAACTCCACACATCCAAGGCTCGCGGATCGTATTCGATTTTCTTGCTGATAACCTCGGGCGCAATGTATGGCAGACTGCCGCAGATGCCCGGCTTGCAAAGACGGATGGCACCCATGCCAATACCGCATTGGCCGCCGGCCTCTCGTAGACCAGGGTGAATGCCCGAGAACACCTCAGAAACGCCAAAGTCTGTTATCTTCAGCTTGCTGTCTTTGGTGATGAGCAGATTCTCCAACTTGATATCGCGATGCGCAATTCCGTGTAAGTGCAGGTAGTTGATCCCCTGGCAGAGCTGCTTGAACAAGCAAAGTCGATCGGCCTCGCGGCCTTCTGTTTTCAAGTACTTCTTCGAGACCAGGCTGAAGAGGTCGCCCTCGGAGCAATACTCCATCACGTGATTCCAGCGGCCATGATTAGTACATAACCGAATCGTCTCGACGATGTTGGGGTGATGCAGACTCTTGGCGATGCTGTATTCCGACTTGATCTTCTTCTGATACTCGTCGGTCGTCTCTGATGAACTCTTGGATCGGAATTCTTTGACAGCATAGAGTTCGCCAGGGCTGCCTTTCCGAACCATCAATGTCACCTTGGAGGTGGCACCCTTGCCCAGGTGCTTGCCATGGCGGCCAAGTAGCTTGTGTTGGTATTCGTATTCTTTGAGCAGCTCGGCCACGTCCACAGTGAAGTCATCTGGCAGACTCAAGCTCAGACGCCGGGCCTTCATACCGGTCCCTGCATCCGGCGGAATCGCCCATGGCTGTCGCTCCAGAATGTCAGTCTCGGGCTTCTTGTTCCGCTCTACGCTCCTTGTCCGACGTGGGTTGTTCTTATTGGACACGAAGTTGACCTTTTGGCGCAAGGCAAAGCCTGTGCTTGCCCTGTTCTTCTTGGTGTTGTTATCGAAGAAGTCGCTCGAAGAGGGCATGGTAGTGCCATTCGTCTTGTCCTTGGAGGGTCCGGCCATTTCAAGAGGAGAACCGGGGGACGGGGGCGTGTTGTTTCCCGTTGCATCAACCGACCCTCGGAAGGTAAAGCGGCGGTGGCCCGGGGTGGAGGGTGTCGTCTTATTGGCAGATGCGAGTGTGGTTTCGGAGGTACCTGAATCATAATTGGGCTTCTTAAACTCCATGGTTGCACCATTGCCTCCATTTGTACCATTTGCACCATTCTCCACCACGTGGGAACTGCTGCGTTTAAAAAATGCCGACATGGTTCTGTGGAAGGACGACGAACGTCTTGAAAGAGGACGCTGCGGTGGCGCTGACGGTCGCCGCTCGATCTTGGGAGTGGGCTGTCTGGGTTGTGTCGTGACGGATTTGTCTACGGGTGCATTGGGTTTCGCTGAGACAACAGGTGCAGGAGACGACGGAGGCGGCGATGTTCGCAGTGCATCCGTTGGTGGAGGGGTAGGAGCTAGTGAAAGAGACTGGTTCGGAACCTCTTTATTTGTAGGGCTCACAGGGACATCGGAAAGCTCTGGAATACCTGAGTTTGAATTCGGGTACGAAGCGGCGAGACCATTAGAATCCGAGTCGCGGTGCTTATAGATGTCGTGGGTATCGCAGAAGCGGAACTCCCGCGATTGTCGGCCGCTGACCGGTGTAACAGGCTCGTTCGGGTAAGATTCGCTGCCCGTCTCTTCGTCGCACTCTTCAGGAATTGGGGTTGAGAAATCTGTAGGGTAGCGACGCAGAGATTCAATGGGAGTGGGCGACGAGGTACTGTAGGCAGAGGAAGCGTTCAAAGAGGTGGTGGAAGGTGAGGGAGAAAGATCTGTAGGTGGGATTAATAATTCTGTGGCGAAAGCAAGTAATGGATGCTTGAGGAGGTCCAATATACCTAGGGGAGTTGCATTTGCTGACGGGGACCGCGCTGTCCGGTTGCAGGTCTGGGTCTGGGTCTGGATTGCAATCGGAGCGGCGGCTGGAACACGAGGTGCAGCAGCAGGTGGAGGGGCAGAGGAGGCTGCTGATGTAGTCGCAGTCGCAGTTGTAGGCGTAGGTTGGTTGCTGCTAGGTGGGATGGTGGTGGTGGTGGTACTGGCAAGACTGGTACTGGGCTGACTGGTGGGAGCAGCAGTAGCTGCTGCTGAAGACGGCGCTGAAGGAGGAGAAGCAGTGGAAGGATTGCAGGACACGGAGGCGGGCGAGTGCGATGACATCGCTGCTGCTGCGGCGGTATGAAGCGCCTGTGGGGCCGCCATTACAGTGGGCTCAGTGGCTCACACGCCTGCCAGGTGGCTCTTTGCGGCCGAGCTTGGTTGTGTCAGTTGTGAACGTGACCGCCAGTCAACGTGACAGGAACAATAGGCCTGGGGTGCCTTGATGATTTGAGTGGGCGAAACAAGGAATGCGAGGAGTTGAAGAGTCAGATCAGGAGACAGTCCAGACTGCAGTGCCGGCACCTGGCGACCTTTTGTAAGTCGAGTCCAGTGTCAAGTGTCAAGTGTCAAGTGCTAAGTGAACTGGATTTGCCCTTCCCAAGCCCTCAAACTTAGAGCCCTGATGCGCGCTGGGAGAAGGTGCTCAATGGGGCCCCCCTTCAGTTGCAGTTTTGGGTGGAACGGCAACGTAAATTGACAGCTGAAATGGTCCGGGCGTCGGTTGCGTTAACTTCAATGTTTCTCCTGGGTCTGTCCGTCTGTCCGGCTTTGTCTTCTCAACGTTGCGGCGTGGTTCGCCAGACAAGCCGTGGTCATACAAAAACGTAAGGGCGTTCCGTTCCAGAAAGCCCATGTCCTAGCCAGCACCCAACAGATATCGGCCTCGGACACCAATATGAGGTTAGTCGTAGGTGGTCAGCGATCCAGGAACAACTCGAGCAACTTCGGCGCTTCTGAGACGCCTTCGGTCGACTCTCGGCTCATTCGATAACACCTCCTGTCAGGTAATCGGAAGGTTGTCTTGTGGGAAGTAATGTGGTGGTGGTTGCAGCCACTGGGTGAGGCGGCTGATGGTAATAATAAGAGTGCGTTTTTGGCGGGGCCTAAGAAACGCTGTCTTTCCTGGCGCGAACTTTGAGTCAAGTGCCTTAACCTAGCAAAGGTGGCAGGGTCGGGCTGGGTTTTGTTATCCTCTTCAGGTTGAGTTGGGATCTGCTACAACTCAAAGGGAGGGACAATTCAGGAAATGTTCTGCCGAGTCGTCTTGGTTGCTTGGCGGTTCTTTCTTCGAACGTTCGCTGCAGGAGATGGTAACCGGCTGTCTGTGGCTGGCTATAGTAGTGTTGCACGGCTTACAGTGCCCGGAAGACAGAAGAACTGAAGAAGCCTATGATTTGCGGTTGCCTGTATGCCAAGGCAAGGGAGGTAAGAAGAAATATGTAGGAGATGTTGTGTCTGGGGGGAAAGAGAGGTTATGAAGTGAGGAATCAGGGGACGACCTCAGGAAACGGGCCGGCGTGGGAGGTGGTGATAGTGGGTATCGGTCCTCCAGCGGCGGCAACCAGCCTAGCAAGAGGCTAGGGTGGGAGGTATCTCGATGCCGTGGGCGCTTCACTGTTGATCTTTGTCCCGGTATGTATAGCGCATGCGAGCACCTGAAGGGTTCGTGGGCTGTACAGTCCAGTTCAGGAAGTGTGTCTGCGTTGCGTGTCCGTACGCCTGTCACTACTGTATTCCGTACGTGGGTAATACTGCAGGTAGGGGCCAGATACAGAGATCCCCTGTAATGCCTCGGGTGGGCTGAAGCGGCTGCAGGAAATGATTATACTGCTTTGGACCGAATGCGGGTTTGGGTGCCTCGAATTGATCTGGATTGGTGACTTTGGTGTGGATGGTGGATGCGTGAAGCGTGGGTGGCAGATGCGTGTAAGTGGGTGATTCTGCGCTTCGTCTGGCCAGGGGCGTCAAGGTTGTTGGGAAAAGACGCAAGTTGGGTCAGGACAGGTCTAGTGACATGGATGGGACAGAATGAGTAGATGGTATTCTCCAGATACTTGTATGTTCATCATTAGGTAGATGTTGACTTGTTCTTGATTCAAATGTGCTGTAAGCCGCCTGTAACATTGATGCAGGCCCTCACGATAGTGTAGGTATCGTATGGAGTAACGTGCGAACAGTACTGTAGTGAGTGCGTGAGTGCATGTGTTTCTGCAGGTAACTGGGGAAGACAGGCTGACAGGGTCCTTGTTGCAGGCGACCACAGAAGGACGCGAGATTAGTTTGCGCAGGTTGCAGTCGTCAAGCAGACCAGCAGGCCCGTCGTCGGCAGCTATCGTCTACTCCGGAGAACCGTATCGCTCGGCATGGGGCCAGCGTCCATTCGGAGTGTGGAAGTGTGGAGGGGTTCTTATTATGGATATGTGTTACTGATATTCTATTCGCTGCGGCTCTGACTTTGGTCCTCAATACTCAGAGGTTCTCTGGGGTCCGCACGTTGGCCTGCGTATTGCCACTGTTGTGACCATGTCCCAATTTCGGAGATTCCCAGGTTGCCGTTGAAGTTTGAACAATGCTCTAAGGTTAGTCACTGATCAGTGGCCAGCCAGTCAGAGACAAACTTGGAGGGTATTCAACAAGTCTCAACTCTCAAGATACTGAACCGAGTTAGTCCACGCCACTCTTCTTGGAAGGGGTGGTCTTCTGCATTGCTTGTGGTATCACAAGCTGCAAAGACGCCTCCGTTTCATCATTGATCGACGTGTTTGTGGTTGATGAAGCATAGCATCCAAGTTCGCGGGGGTTCAGCCTAGCAGTAATGTTTGGATATGCTGTGCTCGGTAGCCAATGCGATCGAGAATTGACTGATTACCTCGTCAAATTCCTCGTCGCACCAATATAGCCACACCATGCTAGACTGCTCGAGTCCATTACCATAAGCTTGGCCATCCGTTGGGAATGTCAAGTCAACCATCAAGGCCCCTTGGGCGTTCTTGGCTATACTTTTATAGCCAGAATAACAATACCGAGCCTTTCACGAGTTGCCAATGCAATGGTACGTCTTGTCGTAGTTGGCAAGTCATATGTTAGGAAGAACGGCCCCTCATCCTCATCCTCACCAATCCCACCGCCATGGCTCATGATGATAATTATAGGCCAATTGGACCAATGACGCGACAACCAATACGTCAGCGAAGGCATCGTGCTTGGCCTAAAAGCAGCCAAGCTGGTGCCCAAGGCTTGGGGAAGCCCTGCCTCTATCCTCTTTCGATCTAGAGTGGCAGAGGAGACACCGAGGTCCCAAACCGGGTGCTTGGCTTCGTCATCCCGTGCTTTGCGTCTTACTCTTGACTTTTGCGACTTCTGAAATAACACACGCAGTCTTCTACGCGTTGTGCGTTGTGCGCGGTGGCTCTGGTCCTCGTGTGTCGAGACTTGGACTCTGGGCGCTGAAGAGGCAGAGCAATTGTCGTCCAAGAAGCGCTCGTCAATACAGAGAGAGGCTCACACAAAGGCTTGGCAAGTCTCGGCAGGTGTGGTACTCGGTTCGCCAAGCAACATGCCACCCACCGGCCGGCAGGCTTTTGCTTCGGGAATGGGAGCAATCTGCTTGGCGTCTTTGGAAGCCTTGAATCTTGACGATATCTCTTGAATCTTGGGTGATTCGTATGGTGGTATCACAAACTCAAGCTCAGTCTTTTGATAAGCGCATCCTCATACCACAGCACATTGAGGCGCACTGGACGTATCTGCTGCAGAGGTGGATCCGACTGGATGGTATCGCGGCAGGCGAGGTACCGTAGCCATGTTTTTGGTTGACCCAAATGTCACAGTGAAAGGCGCAATGGCGTCTTTGGTGGTGGCACGAACCTGTCGTCAACCTCAATGAATTCCCAGTATCGGTGCAACTGCGATGGTCAATGGTGGGGTACCAAGCTCGGACATTTTCTCGCTCCCCGCACAATATCCGTCCCATGCTGCCAGGTCAGCAGGTCAGGGCGGGGTCAGAGAGCAGCCGCCAAATGGTCAGAAGTTCTCATAACTCCCTGATGCATTGCTTCAAATGCTTCATTTGCTTCAGGTGCAGCTGGTCAATGAAGGGAATACTAGTCGTTGCATACGAGATGCACGGGCCTACAACCAGTATATCCCCAAGCAGACCAAGCCAGGGAAGGGGTCGCTGATCTGCGAGACTGCGACATTAACAGCGAGTGGCTTGCGCAACTGCGAATCGCGATCCTGCAGGCATGACACCGACTACATGTACAGCATCATCCCAAGTCAAGTTCCCGTCTTGGCTCTTGGCTCTTGGCTCCAGTCTGGATACAGCCGCCTCGACCTCGACCGACAATCGATGATTAACCCCAGCGAGGGCAACGAACAACTTGGCGTGGCCACACACCATTTGGGACATTGTGGTTCCTTTGGGATACACAAGACTGAAGAGATGATTGATCACTGCCGTCACGACTGCACACAATATCCGTGGATGCCGCCGGCACGCACTGACGGGCTTCCAAAGTCAGCAGCCCGAGTCCGTTACCTACTAGACGTGGTCGACGATGAGGAGTCAGCACCCTATCATCCGAGCCACGGCTCCGGCAACGTCGCATTCGATTCACATCAAGCTTTCAGGCTACCGATCTCTCTCTCTCGTTGGGTATGTCCAATTGCCGGCACGCCTACCTGAACACCTAAGGTAATCCTCACCGACGTTGCCGACTTCGATGATGGCTTCAACTCTGATGCTGATCAACACTTTGTCTTCGGGTTGAGAGACCTGGAGACCCTGGAGACCCTGGAGAATGGCTTGCTGGCTTGCGGGGTGGATGCGAGACACACAAGTCCCCCGGGATCCTAGGATCGCACTTGATTGGCTGCACTGCCTATCCGTTTTCTGGATTCGGCATCAGACTGTCCAGAATGCACCTGCCCAGGTGGCCAAGGCCCAAAACTCACTTCGCATGACCGGATGCATGCCCAGTGCTGTACCTCGTAACAGGGCGGTGACAACCATTCTCTTAGGATAGTCACTCACGAATAACAAGATGGGAGCAACTGCTGTTAACTGAGCGCCAGCCCAAACCCCAATGGCTGACCGAGGCGTTTCTCTTGGTCACGAATTCAACTTCAACGACAGGCTCCGGCTCGATCCAAAACGGTAACCCGCCGCTTATATTATCACTACAAGGGTCGTCGACTCGGGGCGACGGCAGAAATGCTGGTGTCTGGCGGCTCGCCCGCCTGATCTCACTTTGGAAGTTTGGTCCTGCACACCTCCTCCTGCAGTCCTGCAGTTGTGCACGAACGGGGAATCGCTCCTGCCAGAGGCGTGACCGCTGCAGCCCTTGCAGCTCATGCAGCTCATGGACTGCACCGCACCTCCCTCCTGCATAAGCTGTTGGGAGTTCGTCTGGTTTGGGTGCCTCGAACCCCTCCCTCTGGTTGAAATGCGCCAGCCCGCCTTGGCTTCCACGACGAGGGGCCGACAAGCCCTCGTTTATTCTCGTCATTTCTGCCAGAGCCTTATAACATTCACTTGATGTTAGATGAGCCAAGACGAGGACGGGTGCCAGATGGGTGTACTCTGTGAGAGTCCAGCGTAGGGGAATGGTCTCGCCTGATCAGGCACTCAGCCTCTTGAGGCTCTTGGCTGTGCAACGTAGATCGCCCAGTGTCTCCAGACCTCCTCTACCGACTACCGGCAACAGATCATCAGCGCGGTCCAGGCCAGCCGCCTCCCATTGTGGCGGCCGTTGGCGGCATCTCAATGTCTGACAGTCAGTCCGTACAAGTGAGGAGAGTGCGGCATTTGCCTGGCCAGGCCAGGCCAGGCCATACATGACGATGCTGTACGGCTGAAAACAGAGGGCAGTGCCGAATGAAGTGTTGCGGTATGGTACCTTTCCAGGCACTGTCTGGCTCGACGCCAGAGTGTGGGAGGTTACTGCAACGATGAAACCAATGACTGGGCAGGCTGCTGGATCGACCCTATGAATACTGCATCGCGGATCGGTGCTTCTGACGAATATCTTGGCCCTGCATGCTTTTATTATGCCATCTCCCAATGCATTCGCGTTGCAATCAAGCCCTGGTCATCAACTTCAGGCTAGCCGAAGTGGCGGTGAACAAGCTTTCTTCGGTACCAACCCAGACAAAACTCTCAGTAGACAGCCGGTCGGATCAAAGCAGAGTCAACATCATGATTCAAGTCATGCACAGTACGTTCACTCTGTCTGTCAATGGTCATAGATGCCTTGACGGCCGTTCTACGGCTTGCGAGTTGCAGCATCGCGATGCACGTTGCCCTCTCACTTGTGGGTTTACGGTGAGCGAAGAGCACTTCTCGGCACCGTGGCGACGCGGTAACGCCCCAGATTATACGATATTAGAAATGGCATTATAATCCGGGGTTTCTTCCCCACGCCGACCCCAGTCCCGTCCCGCTCACCGTCGTCACGTCGTGTGCCCCCTTACTCTGTTCGGACCAACGTTCGTCACCATGGGCTGATTTCCACAGTCTGACTGCCCACACGCACGTATTACAGATATACAGCGACCACTTGTTATTACTCCGAGTTTCGCATTTGGCGCTGATGAAGGACGTTTGGTTGAGAGGGCAGCACTCGCATGGCATTGACAAGGCAAAGCCTCGTGGTCAGCCAAGCCGGGGACTAGTGAGCGATTTGCATTGCAGAAAGCTTCGTGCCCATCTACCATCTCTTCAACGTTTCCCTGCCTGCCTGACAACAGCCGCTCGGATGACCAGAGGTGCCAAATAGCTGGAGAAACCCGGAAACAAGCCGAGTCTGTGATCCCCCATAGGTTTCCCGACTGCTGACATGACAGATTAAGCCTCTCACGTTCCCATCATCTATACTGTATGGGCGTGGGAGGATAAACTTTTCTTGCCTGCGTCGTAAACTGTGGTTGAAGAGCCCCCAAACGGATCGAGCACGAACCAACCATTGCGCTATATACCTGCAAGCTTGGGCGCTGCTGAAGCATGCATGTGAAAATGCCTCATTGGCGCTTCGAGAACCTTTCGTTTCGTCCGTCGTGGGATGCTTACGTGCATCTCAACAGTATGGCGGCGTCCTCGGGGGCATTGTGCCATTCAATGGTATCGTGTACATGTCACCGCAACTGGGCATCTGTACGTGGCGATGACGATGCCCTTGGCGCGATGCCATTCCGAACATCACAGCAGCCGACAGCAGCAATGTCAGCAGCTAAGATAGCTGTGCGAGAACACGCTGGACTGCGCTGCTTCATCGGTGCTCGAGTTTCACTGCCGTCCCTGCCAAGTCGATTGTGCGCAGATCTGATCTCTTGGTATTGAAATAACGTCCAGCAGCAGGCGTCAGTCCGACAGCCACTTGGCACACTGAGGAAAAGACAACGCAGATGAAATGCCGTCCTTGGCTGTCTCTGAATCGCTCTCCTGTTCTCTGGGCGTCGTCTGTTCAGTCGGTGGCTTGCCTTTCGGCGGCAGGAGCCCGTCGTCGCAAACACAGACTGGCCGCCGGTCGAATGCTCTCTTGTATCCGCCAGCCAGGAGAACACATCATGAAGACAAGAGACGAGCAAGTGAGGTCTCGTTTAGACGCAGGGCCCATCGCTTTCTTAAGTGCCAAGGCCTGCCCAGGGAACGTCAGGTGCGACAATGTCACATCAGTAAGTGTCTCTGTACCGCATCTCTTCGCTGTCTCGTCGCTTCGTCGGGTTTCGCAAGCATGACACCCGAATGCTTTCTATTACTGACTCTGTAATTCATTTCTACTACCGCGCCTCGACGAAGATGCGAACTGGACCGCCAAGATCAAGAGGTCAGCGATGTAGCCGTAACTGTAACGTATCTCGGGAACGCATATCATCTCCGGACTCGAGCTTGGCCTCTGAACGATGCCGCATGTTTCGCACATAGCATGTACACACAAACAAGTTTCGGTTAATCAAGTTTCATCGCCAACCTACAGCCAAGATCGTGGGACACGGGGATAGCCGTTTCTGAGGAACGCCGCCAAGCTTCGGCGTGGCCGGCATGACGCCTCGTGTCAACGATGGGGGCACGCGCTCTCTGTCGTATCTCTCGATATCTCTCTTTTCCCCTTTCCCTTTCTCCCTCTATCTATCCGAAGGCCGAGCAGATTAGCTTGCGGTCTCTGTGTCCTCCTACGCCGATCTTGTTCACTGACATGCTACACGCTCGCAGACGAGTGATCATGAACTGACCCGTTGCACACAAGTCTCGACCGTTTCTCCTAGACAGGATATCCGTCGGTTTCCTCTGCCAATTGTATGTATTGCGAAGGACACCTCCTATCTGCTCTAACCTACCTAGCTTGCGCCCTCCCGAAGTCGTCCGGTATGCTCTTCTCTCGACGGGGCACCAGACCTCTACTGGTGGGATTCCGAAGCACGACGGATGTCCGAAGCTGTTCATGTGCAACGGCTTACTCGGTGGTCGAGGAGAACCTTAACCTTGTTAGAGAACTAGGCGCAGTTTCCCCACCAGATATCCAGCTCCTTAACGCGATGTATCTGATAATATACACCCTTTGCTAGCACATGCGAGGGTCTTAATGGTGCAACTATACGGCTATGGATAGAGGCGCGGGCCGGTCGAGAGGGGTCTAGCAATCGACGGGGCATGTGAGCGCTGCAGTCGATGCTGAAGTAAGTGTGGTATGGATAGCTGGCTTGGGAAGCATGCTGCATCAACGACCGTGCTTCCTGTTGCCGACAGGCTGGCTCGCTCGATAAAACGGAATACACTGAGACCGTCTCCGTTCCCGTAAACATTACGCGCTCAATGTTCCGCCGCGACCTTGTGTAGTAGACCGTTGGCGTGGTCTGGAATGGCATTAATGTGTCATCTGCCTTGCTCCAGTCCTATGGCCACACCATCCCCTACAGCAAGGACCGGCATTCCAGCGATGCCACAGACATCCGGCCTTTGATATAGTTTGGATCTTCGCCGGGACTTACTGTTGTATGCTTCGGGCCGGATGAATGATCTGAAGAGAGGCGGAAGATTCCACATGTCAAGCTATCGATGAGGCTTCTATGACATCCCAGCTTGTATCAGAATGACAAGGACAGGCCGCCATTACGGTATGTATGGGTCTCCAACGAAGCAATCGTCAATGTAGTGCTGGTTTTGACTGAGCGGTGAGGGCTCAGATGCGATTATCTGCCCCTATTGAGTGCAGGTTTGGTGGCAAAAAGGAGTAGTATCGTGCCCCAGCACGCGCGGCAATGCCCAGCAGCCGGAGGTGGACGTTGAAGTTTAGAAGCTTTGTGCTGAACCGAACTCAAGATCGGTAGACTTGACCGCAAAGCACCAGTTTCTACGCGTACACATGGATCGAGTGCTCACGATTAAACACGCACTGGTATTTCTGCGCCGCGAAGCATCATGATGAACGTGCCACGTGAAGGGAACACATTTCTCACGCGTGGTTATTGCGCCGAAATCTGTAGCTAACCATGGACATCGGATATCCGGTATCCGGTACCTCGATATATTAGCCATCGAGGGGAATTTAAAGTAGACAAACTTTGGCTTTGGGAGTTCAGCATATCTGCTTCATGCTCTTTCCGGCAGCCGTGCCCACCACACTTTTCTCATGGACGTCCGTACAGAACGCGCGGTGCCAATGAAAAGTTATTTAGGGCTGGTATAGCTCTGGGCTCATCCGGGCTCATCCGGTGTTTCCCTTGTTGCGGGTGCTAACACGATTGGGAACGTATACATGATGGATCCTGCATTCGTGAGTTGGATATTCTGGCTGACTCCGAATTGCCCACCTTTCTTCCTGGGTCAGAGGAAGCATTCACCGCAGAAAGACCTCGTCTTAAGATTTCTGACCTCTATAATAGACAGACGCGGGCCCGGTGCTGATTCTTCAAAAACCGTGTCGTTCACTCTGGCGGTAACATTAGGCCCATATGAGTAGAGGCAAGGCAGACGTGGGCATGCTTTTCCACATACGGCGGACGAAGGTCGAAGTTCATCGGAGCTTGTGCTGAAGGGTTTCAGGCACAACTGTTGTCGACATTTCCATCTATGTAGATCTATCACCGAGGTCAAAGGCTCCAAGAGGTGCGCGAAAACGCCAACCCACCCATTCCACGAGTCAGAGGCGTGACGCCTCAGCGCTTTGAGCGGATTCTCCCTGTCAACATGGAATGGACAATGCCTCTCCCATTTCATCCTGATTCACACACAGCCAGCCAGTAGGGGTAATACTCGCTTCCCTACGAGCGTGGTGATCGCTGCTTCAGCTACGGCATCAATAAGTGAACTACCCGGGGGAAGCTCAAGGTCGAGTAGCCGAACCTATCACGGCAAAGCCAGCGTGAAGGGATCGCGTCTAAGTGATTGCGTTACGGGAGAGGAACTCGAGGAAGGAAATCTGCTGAGATCTCGACTCACAACCCCTATCCGGACTTCCGCCCCTTAATACCCCATTCCCCTCTATAATCACCTTCTTCTTTTATCTTCTCACCCAGTCAATCTGGCACGCATATATCGGCCCCCAGTACCGCCACCCATCCCCTTATCGCCCTCATTGTATTTCCCAGCCCCCTTCTCAACCCCTTTCTCACCCGCCTTCTTAACCCCCTTCCCAGCCCCCTATCTCGACCCGCATCTCTTTCATCTCCCATCCCTCCCTATCCCCCTCCGGCGTAAGACTCCCCAAAGGGCCCACAGACGACGACCAACCTGTTCAAATGGAAAGTAGAGGATGGGTATTACCCAAGTTCCACAGCCATCTCCGCCACTTCTGCCGCTGCTGCTGGTATTCCAGCTCAAAGCTTAACCCTTCCTGGCCCAACACACGCGTCAACGCCTCGCTGTACGCTACCAGTGCAGTGCAGTGGCAGCAGAAAGCGCATCGGGAAGCTGAGGATGATTGCAACTACGACGGCCGGTTATATGATATGTGACGCATAAAGCAATTTGCTCATCCTTCCTCCTGGACGGTGCTTACTAAGTGGTTGCTTGGTTGGCTCGGGGCCGACTCATGTCAGGCCGGCTCATGTCAGGCCGGCAAGATTGGTCCTTCGATTGATCAACCGAAGAACAAGACTCTAGATCTTTCCATTTCAGTACTGGGATTAGTTTACTGCTGTAGGTTCAACCGCTAGGTTTCTTTGCTCGATGGCTCTGCAGCAGAACGATGAGTAAGTAGGATGATCAGGTGACGATGGCGGTCGGACAACGTCACAGGGATCGGGCAAGGCGAACCGGTCTTCAATGAATGGTCATTTTGTTTCCTACTCATGTGAAGGGAAGCTACAGAAGATCTTCCACTAGATTGAGGGGTATTCTATTCCTGCTTCTATCATATTGTTCCAGTGAACAAGCGTCGAGGTTCAGTGACACAACATATGACGAGGGAGCACAATTCCCATAGGTCGATCTCCAAGAGTTGATACTCATCAGGATATGTTCAAGTGACATGGCAGCTTCGGCCAATGGCCCAGTTGCTTGCTCTATAGCTCGAGTGATCTATGCCTCCTCTCACCATGTACCTACACCCCAAACACCATGCTGCCTGTCTCCATACATGTTACATACACACTGAGAAGAGAGCGTATGAAGGCTCGTACAAATGATATGTGCAATGTTCTCTGTGATGTCCTCTTATGCACACTGTGCCATCCACCGCTAGCCCAACATCTGCCGATGCCCACTCTCATCACTGAGCAGGCCCATCGATGCCACAAAGAAAAAGACCGCTGCTGTAGCAAGGTCGGGTATGGGTTCGTCTAGATGCGCCATTCAATGCCGATTTTGTCTTTTCCGAAATAAACCAAACCCACAAATCAGCTCACAAAAACTCTTCCGACTAGGGGAAAAGGGGCAAAAGGTATCAAAAGGGGTATTCCAAGTAGTGCTGTGTAAAAAGCAAAGTCGCCATCCACCAACCACCTTGGTCGCGTCCCAGGGACATCCATCCATGCGGATGAGATGAGAATTCGCACCGTCGCCTGGACTATGTGCTGGACCAGTATGAAAAAAAACAAAGGAAATGTGGGCGAAAAGTATGCCAAGCTTTCAGTGGGCTCGACCGAGCGGAAGGCCAAAGTTGCTGGTCTTCTTAAGTTTTAGATGTATGACTTCCTCGACTTCCTCGACTGCTTCATCTTGGATTTCGTTCGCTCCCTTAGGGCCAGCGGCGGCGCTAGCTTTCGCATTTGGCTCGGGCTTGGTGGTATCCTGAGTTGCATATGATGTTCCCCTGTTGCTAAGCACTGACGGGGGTTCTTCCTCGGCTTGGACCTGCTGCAGCTTGTTGGTCAGGCTTCTAAGGAATGGCTCATCAGCTGCAGGCCGGTTCCTCAGGCAAAGAGGACCTTTGAGTGCCGGGCCCTCGTCACTGGGCTCGAGAATTGGCTCTTCGTCGACCTGGGGGTTGTGTTGGGAGTCTCGCATCCCAATGTTTTCCGAACCACCAGGTACAAGATCATCACTGATCCCCGGTTGTGGTTGAGGCTGCCCTTCTGCAACCTGGTGGCTTCCCTCTCCGGTGCTTCGTGTAGGAGTGGGAGTGCCGGAACTAGTGGCAGTATTGGTAGCGTTGGTGGAGTCAACGGTGGGAAGCAGGGAGAGGGACACGGAATGATTAGGCGTATGCCCTGCATGCATGGTGAGCCGATTTTCTTCTGGTGCCTGAAGTGCCTCTTTGGTCATCTCAGCTGGTGATGTCCTCGATTGGCCCTCTGGTGACTCGTCGTGCGGAGCGGGTGGCGACGACTTCCTCGATTCCGTCATTGGAGATTGTATATGTCCGTCCAGGAAAGTGGGTTTCTGAACAGCTGGCTTCTTGAGCCGCACACCTTCCAAGCCGGCTATGACTTCACTAACGTCGATGGAAGGGATCTTGACTTCTTTTTCGTTTGTTGGCGATAGAGTTCCCGGTGACGGACCCTGCATGCGTGGGTCCAACGGAACGAAGGGCTTCGACTCGGGCATGGTCGAGCCTGCGATAGAACCCGGAGAGAGGCCGTCTGACGGGCTTCGAAACTTGACGGTCGGTGCGCGACCAGGTCCTGGACTTGCGCAACTGCCACCCCGCACGCCTCGTATGGCGGCTTCGGTAGTACCATCGAAGGACTGGGCGCCGCCAGCACCACTTTGCATGTTCTTCAGCAGACGGGCGAGATGGTCCCTCTCGTTCTCGGCAATTTGCGCCCTTTTGACCCATTCCGAGATTTCCCTGTTCGACTTCTCCTTCTCGTCAATGTACATCATCCGCTCCTGATCCATCAAGTCTCGTTCTTCTCTGAACATCTCCTCGGCTCGAGCCCGCTCTTGTTCTAGATGGGTCCGCTCGCCTTGCCAGCGCCGTTCCTGCTCCCGGTAGTGTGCCTCTCTGCGTTGAAGCAGCATTGCAAGCGACTCGTTGCTCGCGTTGTGGAGCGGCGAGCCAGGGCGAGGATAGCTAGTGCACGCCATGGAGGGCGATGCCGCGGCGGGTCGGTTCCGGTACTCGGTCGGCGACAAGCCGCTAGATCGTTGGTAAGGTTCAGCAGGAGGGCTTGGGTATGGCGACAGGTGATGGGATCGCTCGAAGTACGACGTCTGGTTCAAGGCGTGCGGCAGAGATAGAGGGGATATGAAAGATCGTGGGCTGGGGTCGAGGATGGCGCCTGAAGGCAGGAACGAGTCAGACGGCAGCCTCGTCATGGTGAGCATTGTCGATGATGCGCAGTGGTATAAGCAGCAGTTGCCAGTTGGTGCCTCTCGGTGATTATGACAATTATGCCGTCAACTCCCGAGTCAAAGGTGGAAAGGGCCGAAGACGTTGACGCCGGCCGTCGATTGCGCCGTCGATTGCGTGGACCGCGAAGACTAGCGGGTAGATGACGAAGGTTCGGCTTGAGTAGTGGTGAAGGGCGTCCAGGAACAAAAGTCTAAAGAAGGTGCCAGTGCTATATGCAGCGATGCCAGCATCGAATATGGATATCAATTCCAGTTACAGAGTCAGACTCAGGTAGAATGTACCGGGCGGGATTGACGGTTCGGCAGTTTCATGTAACGACAGGTGTGATCAGGTAGGCAGGTAGGTTCGGTGGTTCATCCGGTGAACCTGTGACGCGCGAACACCTGGCAGTATATAACTGTGATTCGCTGCCCAGCTCTCGTTCGCCTTTGGGATTTCCTTCGCGATAGGCTGGTTGCGCGGTATTGCGTGGCGGGCCGAGGTTGGTTGCTGTGGATTGGTGGCAGGTAGTCTACTCCAGTAAGTCTAGCTCATCTTTACGAGACAGATGTATGCGCATGTCGCCAATGAATTCAATATGTCGAGAATCGCATTGAGTTCATGTTTGTTGGAAAGACGGAAGGACGGATGAGTGGAATTAGAAAGGGGGGGAAGCAAAGGGGAATCTGGAAAGGATGAAGGACGATAGATGGGACGGGCGGGTGGTGGATGTGGCGGTGGTGGAGGTGTGGGTGACATGTCAGGTCCCAGATTTGCCCAGATCAGGTCCCAAATTGGCTCCCAAATTGGGGGTCTGCTGCTTCCCATTGCCCAATTGGAGGTGGGGTCCCCCAATTGAGCCACTGGTCGACGGTATGTACATGTACCTACAGCCCCGCCAACGGGCTGACGGGAAAGGGGTCCAGAGACAGCTGGCAGCCCTTTCCATCAAATAACGCCGAAGCCACGTTTCCGTTGGCTCCCGTCGCGATCTCAACCATTAAAGTGCTCCAGCTCACCACCGCTACCACACCATACCGCGGCTACTATTGATACCATTATTGATTCATTCCTATTTGGCGCTACCGTCGACTGCCAGCGTGTCTCGCGTGTCCAGCTGTCGTTCTCCAGCTGTCACCACTCGTTCGTGGATTCTTGGGCTGCAGGGGAACGGCCCGTTCAAGCCCCAGGCCCAAAAAAAGCCCGAACACATTCGAAACCCCCCTCTGCCCGCCAATGAGATCCATGAAATCCATGACATCAGGCGTGTCTTCAGCTTCTCAGAATCACACACACCCCTTTCCACTCCCCTTTCCACCCCACAGCTCAGATCTTCCCTGCCCGTCAGGGTTCAGCAACCTGATTCCCGGATGTCCCGCTTGGTGCGTTGGCACTTGGCACGCTGACCTGAATTCCCCTTTCGTCTGCGCCATGTGAGATTGGCGTCCCTGCAACTCCCTGTTGTACCATCATCAGATGGGTTGTCGATGTTGTCGTTAGGCCATCTGGAGAAAGCCCGATTGCCAGATCGCCCGAGTATCACAAACCCAGGTGAATATTCCTTCATCCATTTGTGCCCACTCTGTTGAGGCCTAGGGGTCCTCATGACTTTCTAGCACCTCCATTGTCCATCGTCCATTGTCCATCGTCCATCGTCCATCGTCCAGCTGACCTGTTCTGTCTGTACATGGCCGCGCCAGATCTACAGGGTCTTTGCTCACCGGCATGTTCGGTTCCACTCATCCCAATCCCGTGCACCACAGCAGCGGGCCTCGCTTCTCCAGAATAGTTCCGCCATTTGCGCCGACCGACACACCTGGTCTCTCTCGACCCTCATCAGAAACTTTGCTCTACCGGTACTATGTACAAGCTCAAAAGGCCTGATTCATCAAAGATAGGCGCACGTATCCTGATCAAAAGCCTATTGACGCAATATCGTCCCTTTCTGGTATCTCCCCAGGACGAACACTATGCCCTTGGATAGAGCAGTCCGGTAGCATCTAGGTAGGTAGGCAGGGCTGAACAAACAGGCTGACTTTTGGGTCGCCGTCCGAGTTGCAGTCCCATATGCAGGAACAAGCTAAACTGCCCGAGTGTGTTAGCCACGGGAGAGAATCCCATGTTCTCGAATCCAATTCAAGGAAGACAATGCCATCTTTCGAGGCGCAGCCAGAGCTTTTTGCACCGCTGACTGACTCGGGTAGCTCTGTCGCTACGCTGCTACCGCGTGCCGGGATTCCACTGGCAGCGAACTGCGTCTCGAAGCACCTCTAGGTCAAGTGTCACATGAGATCTAGACGGTCAAAATCCTTCTAGAATACAATGTTGCCATGGCCGGCCTGTTCAAGAGGCCGGAGCTATGATATGAGGCCTTGGTACCTGACAAGCCTTATCAGAACCAATACTTGGCACTCTATTCGTTAACCGAAAAGCACCATCTCCAGCTTGGAAATGGGTAGTTTCTCCATCGCTTTCCGGGGTTCTTGTCCGCTGCCAGACCATGCACCAGTCCGTCCACACCGCCCGCACAACTTGTTGGTCACGAGCACGACAATTACGGAGTATCGCATCACGCCGCCATCCATCGTGCTCGTCGCGAGATTGCCGAGCCTCTACTATCTACCAGGGGAGTGAGGGTTAGGGGAGATTCTGGCCAAGGGTCTGCCGGCATCGGCTTGAGCAGGTCATACGTGGTGCAGTTTCACTCCACAGTCTGCCGGCTCAGCGGAGTCATGCAGTATCTATTGATTGTTGTGCCTGGCTCCATATCTGGGACGAGTCGCGCTTGGAATTGCGAAGCGACGTGCAGTAGGAACAACAACAGAAGCACTGCACGACACGTACGATACTCGTCTTTGATAGGCAAGGCTCGACCACGTCACTCACTGTCTTTTGGAAGTGGGAGTCCAATATCTGCTCGAGGCCTGATGTCCCTCACCGACACAGCCGTGATCAACTTGCACATGGGGACAGCTCAGAGGTTGGTGCAGACCAACCCGCCGGTCGCCAGGCCACAAGGTCACGAGGTCGTCAGGCCCATCCTGTCAATCTGGTACTTGATCGCCCGTTGCTCTGGAGACTGACGATAGCGGCATTGGGATCTCAATGCGCTTGCGGCTTGTGCGATACGCGGCCACTAGCTCAGGCCGGTGCTAGGATGTAGGTGAAGCTGCTATTTTGAGAGCGGTCACCCCTAGATGCTTCAACAGCTTGCAGTAACCGCATCACAGGCGCATTCTTCTATATCCCACGATTTGAGTCACTCTTTGCTCCTCGTTCTCTGTATTAGGGGCCAGCATCTCTAGTATTCTAGATCTTTGCCTCAGTCGATGTCTTGCAGTTATCTGTGTACACCGCACAATTGACAGTTACAGGATGTGAACACACTTCTCGAACATAGGATCAATGCAGACATCGATCAAAATTGTACGGACCTGGTCACAAGAACAAGGTCCAAAGGTTGCAGTTGAAGCGAAAAGGGGGACTTTGACGATGTGGCCTCTCCGGAAGCTCAGGCTGACCACCTGGGGGCTCTTGGTTTTGGATGTGTATAGGAAGTAGAGCTACCTCTCGCTGTGGCCAGCGGGAGCGAACACTGCGGTGTGTGGACAGGGGATCAGTGCAAGCCATCCATAGTCGATGGATGACTTCCATCCGCATACCAAAACCTTAGGGAGCCCCCCTCCTGAACAAAGGGGCATAACCAACTTCCTAAATACTTGGGGAGAAAGACAGTGCCCGCGAATGGGTTTCCTAGAGATGGTCTCAGCAATCTTCAGTGCCAGGGCGACGCTGCTTCTCCTTGAAGCTTACCTGTTCAATCCATGTTAACGCAACATTTCCAGGAACCAGCGTGGGCACAATGATCATCGAGCTGCCTGCCGCCTTCTCCCCTTTTCCAAGTTGTCTGCTCGGTGAGCAGGTTCCAGGCCCGGCCCAGACCAGACCAAGACGATGAGTTGGCATCTTCACCTCCCTTCTGTCTTCGAGAGACACACATACTCTTCCGGCTTTGTTCCAGACACAGGAGCAGAACGAGGCGGATGGGCTGGGATAGAAAACTGTTCAGCACCCTTTGCCTTGTATGTCTCACTCCCCCAGGTCTGGGACAAGCGCTTGCTGAAAATGGTGTTATCAGCCCACATAAACCGCGGTTCGCAAACTTTGGAGGTCTGGCTTGACTGGCTACACATCTCTGCATCTCTGCTCACGCACGTCGGATCCGCGACTCACATACATATGCACCTTCTTGCGTCCTTGGCGCCAGCATCTTATCCGAACCTCGAGCAGCAGGAGCAGCAGCAGAAGAAGAAGGGCCAAGTCTGTCTACTCCCACCCCTATCTCCAGATTCCCCCCCATCTCGACCTCCCGGATTTACCAGCTACCTAGCCGTAATGCCCGCCATCGCCCTCATCATCCGCGGGAACAATGCCACCACCACCACCAACACCATCCACACCAACCGCAACCAACTCCCGGACCCAAGCCCAGGTTACCCTCTCCCACTATACCATAATCGTAAGCGCCCGCGCTCCTCGACAGCAGCGGCAGCAACGAAATCAGCAGTCCAGTTCCACCAACCCATCGGCTTCGTGTGCTGCCAGTGCCGCTACCGCAGCAGCGGCAGCCGCTGCTCCAACCCGGACCGCCCGGACTGTCCGCACCGCGGCGTGCCGCGCTGTGGGAACTGCCCGATTCTGTTCACGCCGCCGCGGCTGATGCGTGCTTGGGGTGGTTGAGGCGGGGCCTGGACGGGCGGGTGTGAGTGTGAGTGCGGGGGCTTGTCTGGTTGTGCCAGATACGTTAGGGGGAGTTGGGAGTGTGTTTGATGGGCAGATGCGTGAGTGGGTGCACTTCATACAGATTACGTCGGTCATGACCAGTTGTTCCTGTGTATGGCGATGAGAGAACTACGAGGCTGTGCCAGAACATGATTCTGTGAACCAGGATGCTGGCCCGTGCCACCAAACTCCCAGGGGAGCAAGAAAAGCAGTTGAACGATCGATGTGAAGTGAAGCCAGACATCGTCTGGATGTCAGGAGCCTCACTTCGGCAGCAGAATACAGCACAATGCCACTCACCTGTTGCAATTCGTGAATGAGCTTCTGAGCAGGCACATACTGTTGCTACGCGATGAAGTTGTACAGAGACACCAAGAATACTAGCCGTGTGTGATCCTGCCTATATGACTTTTTGTATCCCTCTGACTAAGTCCAGCTGTTTGCCCCGACGCACCCAGTATAAGCTACATGAATCATTCTCTGTGCCCCTTAAGAAAGTGATTGAGTTTGTAAACACTACATAGATGATAAAATGTCAGCGTAACGAGGTCCAACCGTCATCGTCGTTTAACAAGCGTGACTACCTAAGTATATAGCTGACACGTGCAGAGTGCGAGTAGAGCGCGATCATGTACCTTGGAGTGTAAAGGGACCTACTTCGGGCTCTGAGTTCATCAACTGGATGACCGTACCCGTATAAGCTTAGATACTTGTGCTATTTGGATCTGTGCAGTTCACTGCTCCTGGACTTGAATAGAGTGTGGTGATGAGCAGACTCCCTTGTCCTCCGCCAGGGTTCATCTACCTTCAGACGTGTCACTTTCCAACCCGCCCGAAACGCGACGGAAAGCCTTCCTTTGTGCGTTGTCTCTGGGGGCATTATTCCTTAACTACAGCATAACTCATCCCATACCTACACCATGCCTTCATCCCAATTCCAAGCCCAGCGTCATCCACATTACTTGTCGTCCCAATCCACCAGGCACGAAGCCCAGCAAGCCATACCGCAACCGCCAAGAAATGTGCGTCCCCCTCTGGGAACAAGACCGCTGCGCGCACCACGACTGCGCCAACCCCATCGGCGTGCCCCGCACGGTACGCCACCGGCGGTGCAAGGCCCTGCCCAGAGGCACCAAACCGGCATACTGTCCGCACTTCAATGCCGCCGGCGGGGAGTGCATTCGCCTCTCGCCCGTGGGGTACTGCGGTACAGCATGCGCGGCGGCGGACCTGAGGGAGTTGTTTGACTCGGCACGTGCGCTGCGCGAGGAGGCTGTGACGCTGCGGCGGAAGCAGCGCAAGCAGGCGAAGCGGGCCGAGAAGCTGGTTGATAGGAGTGCGGTGCTGGAACGGGTGACGCGGAGGGTGCTGCGGATGACGGAGGGGAGGGTGGGGGGTGGGGATGAGGATAGTGAGGGGAGTGGGGATACGGAGGAGACGGGGGACGATGCCGATGATGACGGGGATGATGGGGAGGGCGATGATGAGTTTGAGAGTATGGATTTGGACGAGGAGGGCGATGTTGAAGCCTCTGCTAAGTCGGGGAGAGGCAGACGGGGTAGAACATAGGGCTCGCTTGCCTATGTCGTTTTGACGTTTGATGGAGTTCCAAGTGCGAGTATTGATGCCCAAAAGATGCGGTAAATACATCTCTTTTCCTCTTCGAACCAAGGACGTGCAAGAGGTGGCGGATCTCGGAGAGGCAACTTCCGGGTTGATCTGAATATTTGACTTCGATTCTTTGGCTTGAGATTTTTCTCGAGAGGTATTGTTAGGAGCCACTCAGGGGTAGTTCGACTCTGTCCGAATGTAAGATCACGGAGTGGTTTGCTGATAAGGGTGGCTGCGATGCACTGCACGAGTAGCGAACCGCGTCTGGGAATACCACTTATGATAGAACCACTTGGTATTGCACGCGCCCCTAACACCAGGCCTGACCTTCCCAAATACACAAAATCCGCATTGAAGACACCTTGCTTCGCTTCCCATTCAAACCAACTCAGCTAATCTTCTTGCCCATGAAATCCGCCAGCTCGTCTAACAACTCGACCGTCTCGGCCGGACTCGCAATCCAAGCCGTGGTGGCCACGCTCCGCGCCTTGAAGTCGTTGCTACCCGCACTGAGGAACTGGTCCCCGACATGCAGGGTCTCCTCGGGCCTGATCATCTTCCCCTCGCCGCCTCCGAACCACTTTTGGCACACGGACACGCCCCAGCTCTTGTCGCCAATGTCGACGAACACGTCCCTGCCGCCGTTGAAGGCGCAGAACGGGACAACCTTGTTGTTGAAGTCGCGCCCGCCCACGCTGAGCTCCAGGATCTTCTGCACCACCAGTACGGTCTCCTCGAGCGACTCCCGTGGAATGCGCACGTTGGGGTCGCTGGGGATTATGCCCACAGCGCGGTCCTTGCGCATTAAAGTTGCAGGGAGGCTCAGGGTCTTGATGGAGTCCCGCAGCGCAGTTTCGGCTACATCCAGTAAGGCATCAATGCTCGTGTCAGACCAGCTGGCCATCTCGGCCGTGAGCCACCTCTCGCGCGGCACAGGGGCGAGGAGATGGGGCGATGTTTCGCAGAATTCGAAGAGGTAATTAGCCTCGCCGCCCATGATGACAATGTTCTGTCTCTGCTGCGGTGTCAGGGCTGTGGACTGCGCAATCTCGTTCAATAGTCCATGCAGACGCGCATAATACCGATCGGCTGTCGTGTAGCCTGCAGCGGTGACGATGCCGATCTTGACGTTCTTGCGCATCAGATCGATCATGCGCGGGATGACAGGGCTGCTGGGTTCCAGGCTCTCGCCGTCGTCGTACAGCGTCACGTCTCCGTCGAACGTGGCTAGCTGCAGGGTGCCGTATGTCGTCACGGCCATGATCTGCGCCGAGTTGAGGATCAGGCGCACGTCGTTGAAGGAAGGCGATACGAAACGCCGTGATGAGATGAAGCGCTTGCGGTCTTGGAATTTGAAGGCAGCCTCGAGGGGTAGTCGCGTGAAGAAGGTGCCCACTGGAGGGACCAGGAGTTTGAGTTTTGATGGGACAGAAATCGATTCTGCTTGGTGGGCGACTGTATAAAGTCAGTGATCTATGTTTCTACGAGAGGAAGAGGCATACTGTGATCGTCAATCATGAATTCAACATCTCTCATGATCTCGGCATAGCGCCTGTGGGCCTCCTCTGACATTCGCGTTATGCTGAAGCCATTCGTCTCGAAAATTCCAGTCGGCTGGGAATACAGCACAAACGGGACAGCCAGGAGCCCCTTGATCCATTCTGGGACAGGTTAGCAAATGAATTTCGATGCGCATGCTGTGATAAGCTGAACTTGAGCCCCCCACGTTTCGAGGGCATCGTCTTGTCGACTCGTAGAGCGCAGCAGTTTTTGATGCCAGTGACATTTGCGCCACACCATCTCATCCTGGCCTCACATGATCGTCGAGGCAGACATGGACAGCAACAACGATGAAGTTTGCTCAGGTACACATTGTGTAGTTCAACAGTCCAATAGCCAGGTCGGTGAGTATGTACCTATGAGTTGATCCCTCCTGTGCGTCTTCAGCGCATCTGTGGCAGGGAGCGGTCAGCATCTTGTCTTCTCGACGTGGGACGCGAACGACTCACATTCCACCCTGTACCGTGTGGTCATCGTGTCGGGCGCTTCCGGGCGAATGAAGCTTGGGAGAAGAGAAAGAACAGAAGGTTGTTTTCTGATGGTCCTTTACCTTAGTGAAACGAAGAGGCGTTCGCAGGGGTATCACGGTGTTTGCTGGAAGACGACAGACAGAATGTGTATTGAAACGTGTACGCGGTCGTTGTGCAAGCCCGGAAGTGAGGTGAAGTTGAGACATGAACACCCGACATGAGACACCTGTCCAGCCCCCTAAATCCCCTAGATCCACTAGCCACAGTGACTCCGGCGCTATCGACTGTTTCGTCGTAGCGCCCAACAGCGCTAGCCGAGTGCGCTAGGCCGTCTACCCATTCCTCGGGGATTTCCCCGTGCTGGGCACTGCACACCTCACATCCACAGCTTCAAGCTTATTGATCCTTCTGCCTCATTGGCAACGTACTCGAACTCAGTCGCAAAGCTGTCGATGTGAAGACGTGAGGATCAATCATATGTCGCCTAGTACGCACCTCCGCATATGAACCAGAAGCGCGAGGCTCATCTCGGCCTTCCCCTTTGTCGTCCCTCATACCAGACAGCCTTGAGCCAGAACGGGAACCGAGGCATGCTCTCGTTCAGTGCGCCGACAGGCTTTTTCCGAAGCAATCTCCCGCGGCAACCAGCCTACGACACTCCCGTGATGCTGTGCCTACTTCAAAGAAGTGGCCTAGATCAAGTTCTCACCCTGCCGCTCAATCGACAACACTGGAGATCACAGAAGTTGGTCCTCAGGGAAACTGCAGAGAGAATCAAATCGTCCACGGTCCCAGCAGGACGCGCAATGGCCGTATATACCAAGAGTCGTGCATCAAGCAAGATGCCCGGCACTGTCACCCCAAGATGTACACACAGAACGTCCCCCATCTCCTCCAGCACGAAAACCCTCTGTTCACTGGCCATCAGCCCCCTTTCCAGCCCCTACCCCCCGCCCCGGCAAAACAGCCGACCAGCAGCCCGCTCTCCCCTCAACCTAAGTGCTGAACTCAACGCCCCGCTTGATAGGCGGGGGGACCACGAGCCCGTAGTTCAGCCTAACATAACTGATGCGCAGGAGAGCGTAGTGTCGAGGTTCTGGCACGCGGAGCCCAGGGTGCCGATCTTGTCGCCCGTGCAGCCGCCGCGGCCGTGCGTGCCCTCGACGCCCGCCAGGTACACGCTGTGCGATGTGGCGTCCATACTCATGCCGTGGTGGGCGTCGCCGTGGGCGTGGTGGCCGTAGTTAAGGTCGCCCGAGCTGGGGAGGGGCGGGTTAGCGGTGTGTGGTTTGGAGATTTGGGGTCGGATGGCTGGAGAGAGGAAGGGGAGGTCAGAAGGGTGACATGATGAGAGACGGCATCTATTGAATAGGCACAAACAGGGATTTTAGGGTCAAGAAATGCATCGGTCACTAGTTCGACGTTGTCTCCGTATGCCATGGTAAACTAGGATTAGTATCTCCTATTTCTTGATATTGAGAGAGATGAGATGCATGCAGAGTCACGAGGGCCTTCACAAAGTAGAGCAATCTGATACGCCTACATCACTCAATAGCTGGAGGTTTGGAGGATTCCCAAGTATGTCAGTCATTCATTCGTAGTAACGTAGTTTGCCTTCGCTGCTTGCGATTTTGTCCATGGTGGAGCGGTCTTGCGTCTTTCAGTATGCTCATCGTATAAAAACGCACTGAATTCTTTCATTCCCCCCCCCCAACTACTCTGAGAGACCTTGTAGCTCATGGCTTGTCATCCCTAGCATTCATTGCATGACCCTGAAGCAAAGGCGGATTGGCCACTCAATCCGATTCTCTAACACGGGGGGGTGTTGTAGGGATCGATCATGGCAATGTCTATGCTACGCTTATGAATAGTTCCGAGATTTTATAGAACCTGTGCCCAAATCATAGAGTAGGTATCTAGAGATATGTGGACTGGTGTCTCCTGAAAGATTATATCTTCCATCTCACTCCAGGCATCTATTTTACCACCATGGCCTATCTCCTGATATAGGTTCTTGATCGACGAGAGTGATCATGTTCATGTAACAGGGCCTCTGTGTGCTTACAGGCAGCAGTACAAGAACTGTGGGCATAGTATATTCCACTCTTCACCCAGCAACCAATAGCCCAATGCGAGTTGCGGAGCTGTCCTGTGTGTTTTGCCTGGCGGTCGTCAGACAAACCTGGGTCAACTTTTGAGGCTCTCCCATTCCGCCTTGCCTGGCAACCAACTATTTTGCTTTACGTTGCCTAAGGCATTGGCCCCTCCAGGGTTTACTTTTCTTTCACACGGGAATATTTAGCTACATGACTGCAATCTTCCTCCCGCACGCTTTTGCACGGTCACCTTTTCCCGGAACATCTCCATTCGGACAACAGTCAGCCAAACCACAGTTCAAGACACATCTTGCGCTCTCTTGGCTTGTCTGTGCCGTTTCTCGCACGATTCATACCGCACGACGGAATCCGCAGCTAGGTAGGCCTCACATCCCATCGCAAGACACTGCGTTCGCAACCTGCTGACGTATGTCACAGGATGGACGACCTTGCATTCCTGTTTTCCGCACCGCGATGCCCTCCTCCGTGGCTTCCCTTGATCATGGGTAGGAGTGGAAGATTTGCGCGAAGCCAAGACGGAACACTCGCGACGGATTTCAATGGCAACCTCGAGTACCAAATCAGCAGCGGCCTCATAGCTCGCATCGACTCCAGTACAGCCGAAACCTAGCCCACGGCGCATCGCATCCCTCGTTCTCCGACCTACCAACGTCTATCCGTCGTCTTTTACACAGCAATAGTGATCACAGCCTGCTACGACTACCAACTGATTACTGAAATCGGATGGTCCATCTTGGACACTTATGAGCTCTTCCATGGGACTCGTCTGACTAAGACGTTGAATGTCCAAGGCTCATCTGCGCCGGGCGATCGGGGAAACCGGGTGCAGAAATTCGTTGCCAGCGTCCATTACATCCTCATTGACACTGCCGATCACCGCCCCGAGACCTGTGCTGAGCGCACTCATGTGGCTCGACCATTCGATTTCGCCTTCGGGAAGTCACAGTTCACTTAACGAAACACGACCCGAACGACATTGGAGCAAGGTTTTGACATGGCCAAGAAGTGGCACTTGACCCGGAAGGAAATCGAAGATGGAACCGGACGTGAGGTAATCCTGTTCGGATGGGGCAATGAAGCCCACCATCCGGCTATTAAGAACACGAGCTTCTATCAGAATGGCGACGCCCTCGAACATTGGGACCTCTCTATGCACCACGTCTTCAAAGCTCGATTCAGTGGTAGAAAGCCCTCGTTCCTGACGTCCATGGCAGCACTTGGTCTGCCATACAAGATCAACAACTACAGCATCGCAAACAACGCCGGCAACCACTCCGCCTTCGCCATGCACTTGCTGCTCGCCCTGAGCTACATGACCGATAAGCAGAGTGAGACACTCCACAGACGCGAGAACCTGCCGCCTTTGGATGTGTAGATCGGCAACCAAGATGCCCTGACTAGGGTCAACACTCCGATCGGGGCGAATACGTTCACCGCCCTCGACCCCTGGTCAGCACGTACGTGAGATTGAGCTCCACGACGCCTCCTGCCGCCGCCGCATTTCGCTTGGCCGACGTCGAGGACCGCAGAGGCCCTCTCCGCGCATACAACCCGATGCTCAACTGGCGGGAGCAGTCCATTGCAGCCAGAAGTCGACATGTCTCGGAGCCATAGAGAAGAGCACTGGTGGTTATTCCCGCGTTTGACAAGCGGCCGGTCAGGTGTTGCTCAACTACCGCCCTGTGGCAAGATAATGGCATTTTCGACCGCATGGAAAAGATGGAAAAACGTGCTGCTATAACGCTACACACGTTCACACGCACACTCTTGTCCGGATTGAGTGAGCTAAGAGCTCTTGTTGCTGTTGTTGCCCTCCCCCAACACTTCCTTCCTGCTCCCGCTCTCTCTTTTCTCTAGATAATCTCTTCTCCTCTGGCTTCTTATACTTGTACTTTTCACGTTATAATATTACTTCGATTGTTTCATTGTAAATGACCCTGTTGTACTACCCCTGCTGTTTCCGAGTATGGCCGTTGATGGTCCATAGTAACCATCAATCCTCGCTGTGTGTGGCTGGTAAGTCAGTAAGGATGCGATGATATACCCGTCGACGTGTTGTGCCAGCAGAGGCATCTCCCTACAGCTCCTCAGCAGTTGCTGTTAGTCCCGACATCTTCTTCATACCCCTGACGCCGAAGCAGGTTAACTGGCTGTGCATATACACCCAGCTCGACAAGTGGAAGAGGTACGACCCAGCACACGTCTCCGTGAATACCGGCAACGCTCAAGCTGACGTTGTACTGGACCTCCACCCGAAGCCTTTTGGGGCCTGCCCAAATCACTCTCACTCGGACTATGAGAGAAGAAGTGAAAGGAAAGAAAAAAGGTTATTGACATAGATCGAAAGCACTGACGATAGGGATATTATATTAAAAGGTAAATCTACTAACTCATGATTGTATAACACCGAACGCAACTCCATACTATAAAGGTAACTGTGTCCAGACTGTTAGCTGATCATGTTATTAGTGACCGTTTGAGTGGCGGGTCCGATCATATAATTGAAGTAGTCTTGTACGGTAAATGGAAAGATCCGAAGCTGCTGCAACATCAACCAGCATGTAGACTTCGTTCCCTACCTGTGTATATCAAGCACAACTCAGCTGAGAATCGACCCTCGAGAGAATATTCAACACATTAAACCGCACCTAACCAGGCATGAAATTCTTTGCTGAGCGGACAATCCTTGAATTGGCTCGTGGATTTTTGGCTTTGCTCACACAAGTATCACCGAGCAACCAGTTAGTCTCCTGCTGATGTTTGTTTCTCCGTTGCCCACCACAACCATTGCCCTGCTTTTCCTTAGGTACCGCACCTTCAACCCTCATTCTTCTTCCTCTTGCTCTACTCGCGCTACCACCCAACGGAGTGCCACCTTTTCGCGCACGCAGTCGGTCTTCACCACGCCATCCCATATTTCTTTTGTGAGCAATAATCGATTCACCAAGGGATTTTGGCGCCGACCTATTACCCTCCTCCTAAGTACACCTCCTTTCCCCAGTCACCATACCGCACACATGCAACCTCAGTCTCAGATGATGGACGCGAGCGACTCTCCGAGCGCTCAGCGAATGGCCAGCGGTGGGCTCCCTGGCCAGGGCCGCCTTATGTCACGATCTTCCTCTCGGCTGCAGGTTGAGCTCCCGGCTCACTCTGGCGAACAAGCTCCTCCGGCTCGCATTGAGACTGTCTCCAATGCGTAAGCTTTCCAATCAATTCCGGACTGCCTAACAAATCTTGCTGACAGACATCTACCGCAGCATGCATGACCTGGAGCCTTTGCGAATCCTGTCGCGACCGCCTCCCGACTGGCTTCCACTGCTCTTTGGCACTAGCGGCCGGTTTTACCACGACCGACGAGGACGAGTTTTGACAGACCCCGACGGCAGAGTCAGATTCGACCTATATGGGCAGCAACAGGCAATCACGAAGCAGCCCAACTCGGGCAAATGGGGTTACTGGCCCATGATCCAGAACCCCGGCGCCAATTGCCAAGTACACCGGGTCTCGGTCGTCTTTCTTTGCCCAATCATCACGACTGCAGCTATGACCGCAAGGTCATCACCGAGGTGGGCTGGACCATTCTCGATACGCACGAGTTGCTACACGGCGCGCAGCTCAACAGAGGGCTGTAGACCACCGGATGTGTCGCACCTGGCGACCGAGGACAATTTGTCCGAAAATTCTGCTGCACTTTCCACCGCGTCGTGGTAGAGACAGCAGACCACCACCCGGGAACATGCGCGCTTGCTGGCCATACCGCCCGGCCGTACGACTTCTGCTTTGGCAAAACCTCCTTTATCGCCCGCTCAAGCGTCGCAAAGAACTTGGAAGATGCCTTCGATATGGCCCAAAAGTGGAGTCTCTCCGAGACTCAGATCGAGCGTGGTGTAAAGCGAGAGGTGGTGCTGATCGGCTAGGGTGATACATACCGCCACACCGCCATTAAGGAGACACAATGGTACCGTCAAGGCCTTGCCCTTGAACATTGGGATATCAGCAAGAGCACCCTCATCCAAAGCCGCTTCGCTGCGGCTAGGAGTATCTCGTTCATCCATTGTCTGAATGCCCTCGGCATTTCCCACACCGTCAACGGTTTCAGTGTCGCCCACAATGTAGGCAACCTTTCCGCATTTGCAATGCATCTACTACTGGCTCTAAGCTTCGTAACGGATGAACAGGCGGAGACATGGCGAGAGCGAGGGGATCTCCCCGTCCAAGACGACAGAGTTGGCAACCACGAGGCATTGGTGCGTACAGATCTCCCAATCGGTGCCGAGTCACCGAAAACGCGGGTTGAATACCGACACAAGCCCCGACCTAAGACGACTACATTCGTCAAAATGGGCGTGGACACGCCCGCTGCAATGGCCAGATACAGCATGAAGGACGTCAGCCATCGCCGCGGCCGCCTTGGGCCTTACAACCCCCAGGAGAACTGGCGCGAGCAGGCCATGGAGGCACGGACTCGCTACCTTTGACATACCCATCGTTTGTTTGTTTGTTTTGTATTTAACGTGGGGGGTAGCTCCTCAGTAGTGCAAACCACGCCTCCCAGAGCCTCTGTATCCCAGGGTTGTGGAGGTCTCAAGATAATAAGTACAGTCAGTCCCGCTCACGGGCCCATCCCCGTTGTTGCGGCGGTATGACCTTGGGGTCATCCATCTGGTCCTTCAAGAAAAGCTATCTATCGGGGGCAGATTGTTGAAAAGAACTTGCTCTTTTCCACGAATTTTGCCCATTCTGTGCTCCTCTCCCCTAAGTATTGTAAATAAGCTGTCCTAGGCGAGTACCTAGACAGCAGCCGGTTTTTTCCCAGTCTCTTACAAAAAAAAATGTGTTGTGGTGTTTTCTTCTCACCACAGTTGCAGTGATCATTCGAGTCTGTATGCCCAAAGCGTTCATGGTATCTGGCAAAGTCGCCATGTCCAGATCTGGCCGCTAGAAATCTGTGTAAAGTACTCCTCTTAAAAGATATAAGGTCTCTTTTAGTTACTGTATGTGAGTATACTTCTTGATACCTAAGTTCTGATTGGTCTTTTTACCATTGATTGAACTCTTTCTTGTCCTTTTTTTTGAGATCTCTCTTGACCCAAGAGATTATAAGAAGGTTTATTATGTCTGTTTCTAGCATGACACTCTTTTTTGCTAGTATGTCGGCAGCTTCGTTGTCATTAATATCTCTGTGTCCAGGAATCCACTTGACGGTCACTCCAGGAGTGTGTGCTGTGGCAAGTTCTTGAAATCATAGAAAAATGTTCTGTGATGTCTCGGGTGGAGTCCCATTGAGCCCATCTACCACTGCTGTGTTATCCAGGCAGACATATAACTGTTTTCCGTGTCCAATTGCCCTGGCTACTGCAAGACCTTGGAGAGCACCATGGACTTCAGCATCTATTATTTCTGTTTGGAGAAGTCTGCCCTTTCCTCAGTATATTTCTTGTGTAGTGCCGCCTTTCCTGATGGTATAATCCCATCCAGTGCGGGTTGTGCCTTGGTCGTTCAACTGTGATCCATCTGAATAGATGACAAGGTCAGTGTTCATGTTTCTCTCTTGTAGCCATTGCTTGAAGAGCTCTATTTCTTTGTCTTTGTCTTTACGGATTGGGGGCTTCTTTTATGATGGCCTGGTAAGTATTGGTCTCTGGAAGTCAGGGAGTAGCTGGAAACTCTTTTGTAGCCTTGTTGGATTTTTGCGAGCTTGTATTTGGAGCCTGCTAACAAGAGGGTATCTCTGGTCTATTCGTCCTAGTCGGAGGCCGTGACGTCGTCTTATTGACTCTGCAAGAACTCCTGCTGAGGGAATCTGCGATTCAAAGTGTAGGATATGTCCAGGGTGTGTTTTCTAGACTGGCAAGATAGCCCTGATCGCCGTTCGTAATACGGCATCTATTGTTCCAAGAAGCCCTTTAATGCGATATGCTGATGTCCCACCTAAGATCCCAACTTTCTCGATTCCTGGGTACCAGGCCTCCAGGCCGTGTGTAAGAATAAGAATAACACAAGCTTTCACAGCCCTCTTGGTTGACTTTACTAGAAGTCCTTTAACTGTGTTGCATAGTCCTTAAAAGTGATTTGTTACCTTATTAGCTTTCTTGGCCCAGTAGGAAACGTGATTTTTGAAGTTTAGTTTTCTATCTAGGAAGACACCCAGCCATCGCATGGAGTCCTTTGTTATTTTGTTTATTGTCCCGTGGCGGACTGGAGGATTGTCTGAGTTCTTTTTCTGTGAGAAGTGCATGATCTCGGTTTTGTCGGGGTCAAACTCAATAGCATTATTGTGTCCCTATTAGTTGAATAAATAAAGGTTTTTAGAAGCCTTTGTTATTGTTTCCTTAAGGTTCTTTCTAATACAAAGAGTCGCTAGGTCGTCTG